TCAAAAAAAAGCAAAAACAATAAATATTTGAACTGATTTTTTTTTCTAGTGAAACAGACCCTTTATTACAACTGTTGCTAAGTAAGGTCCTTTATACCCAAGGCAATGTAAATCAAAAACCGGCAAGATTAGATGTTAAGTGACATTGTCGTGAGAAAAGTCGCCGCAATTTTCAAAATGGAAGAACAAATCTATACAGTTGGACATGTAGTCGCTAAACCTTTGGGTTAGACAAAGTTTATTTTCTCGAAGCGATTCCATAAAAAAAACTTCAAAAATGTATGAAATTAACACGCAACAATCACGTAACATCAAAAGTTATAGTCAGTTCTATACATTTTAGAAATTCGTTAAGGAATCGCTTCGAAATAAATGCTGTACTGACCAAATAGACTCGCGTTGACGATTTAAAGCGATCTTCGTAACGCCTTGAGTATTAAGGGACATTTCCACTAGAAATTACATATAAACACTAGCGGACCCGACAGACGTTGTCCTGTCTAAACGTCTTTAATTTGAATAAATTAATATGAAGTTAATATTTGATGAAAATTGTGAATCTAAACCATTCCCAGATCCCCTTGAACACACACAAAAAATTTCATCAAAATCGCTCCAGTCGTTTGAGAGAAGTTCAGTGACATACACACTCACAGAAGAATTATTTATATAAAGATAATTTACCTGTCTTTAATATAGAACAATATGTTATTGTATACAGCGTATGCGGGACGTTCACGCTGCATCTTGAACAGTATCATGCCGGCGTCGTGTCCCGCCGCGAACAGGTTCAGAGACGGGTGAGCGGCTAACACCCAATATCTAAGAAAAATATTATAACATCAAACAATAATAATAAATTAGATTTATGCAATCTTACTTATAATATTATAAATACGAATATTTATTTATTTTATTATATTTAATGTAATTTAATTATAACACGATGGATGAAAGGTATGTCCTTAACGGCTCAACAGATGTAGAACAGTTTGGAAGGCTACACATCGGCTACTTATTAAGTATTTCTAATTTCGCGCGAACGGAGTCACGGGCGACAGCTAGTAAATAATAAACAAGTTAAATTAATATGTGGTAATTAAGCACAAAGTCAAATATGATGTGCCTTTGTTTACCTAATTAACCATGGGTTTCTAAGACCAAAACCCCGTTTGAAACTTATTGTTATCTCTATTTTGTCAAAGATAATGAGAGGGATGGCGATATGATTTATACAGAGATTTTGGTCTCAGAAAACACCGGTTAGGCATTCAATCAAAACATAGAATATTTTTTTTTAATCAGTGATTGGACACTAAAAGTATCCCTTAATGTATTCTCTTACTAAAAGATGCATAAAGTCTTGTAGTACAGTGTGACCTTTATGTGACCTTTGCATTAGTACTAACCGATCATGTTCCCTTCGGAATGTGTGCAGACATGTCCGCTTAGTCATGTCCCATACACGGATTGACTTATCTTCACTGTTGGATAGGATCAGCTCGTGCTTCGCGTGGAACAGCACACAGGACACGTTGTTGTAGTGCCCACGGCACGTGTCCACTTCCCAAGCCTGGATAAAGAAGACTAATTTACACATTCAATTCTAGTGCCTTTTTCTAAAAGTGTTCATGGCAGTTAATTTGTTAAGGAGCATCGGTGGCTTAGGGGTTTAAGAACTTGACTTGCAATCTGCAGGTCTGGGTTCGAATACTGCCATGTACCAATGTGTTTTTCCATTTCCGATTTACATTTGTACATTTATCCGACGTTCTTACGGTGAAGGAAAACAGCATGATGCAAACTGCACATATCTGAGAAGTAATTCAAAGATATGTGTGAAGTCAACCCGCACTAGGCCAGCATTGACTATGGCCTAATCACACTTAACTTAGGGTAGGCTCCGAGCCCGTAGGGGACGTATAGTCAGTTGATAAGGTAGCACTTGACCACAATGGATGATGAAGAAATGCATAAATGTAAAATTGTAATACCATATCAGTTCAAATGTCGTATTGATAAATACATATCGTAATTTAAAATGAACATTATTCATAGTGTGTTATCTGCAAATTTTAGGTTATGCTTATTTACGTCAAAGAACAATTAAAAAAAGATATACTAATTTTATTGTTTAAAACCAATAGACATATTAAGTGCCAAATTAATATAAACGCATAACCTATTCTCCTTATTGCATAACACTAACAAAAATAATAGAAGAAATCAAACATATAGTATCGGAACATACTTTGAGTCACTGCGCAGAACACAATTTTAGTTGTATGACGCGAACAATACTTAAATAATGTTTACATTATAATATAAAGCAGTAATAATAGTTACCTTAGCATCATTCATCCGCCAGAACTTGACTTGTCGGTCATCAGCTGCGGAGACAATCAATGGTAAAGAAGGGTGGAAGGCCGCCCAGTTGACGCCCCGATCATGACCCTCTAATACATGCTTCACTACTGCATCCGCCTAAAACATATATTATACAGCATAATACAAATATAATGAACATTAACCCTTTCCCGGCCATAGCCCAAATGATACTTGATAATTCGTAAGAATGATGACTATAAATAATAAAAATGTAAGGAAAAACTAGAGCAAGACTTAGTATTGGCGTTACTTAAAGAAAATGTCATCAAAACATATGTAGATTTATTTTTCATATTCGCTTTTAGCAGGAAAAAGGTTTAAGAAACCAAAGATACAAAATTTGCTACAAAAGTATAGTTAGGCAATGGTGACCTAGTCACCCGTAACATAGGGTAGGCTCCAAGCCCCTCTGTGAGGACATATAGTAAGCTGATGATGATATATAGTTAGGATGTTAAAATAAATGTCCCACTGGGTTGCCTGGAAGAGATCGCTTGTAGCGATAAGGCCGCCCTTGCTTTGTAAATTAGTTAATTGTCTTTTTTTATGTATTATGATAGCATTAAGAGTTAATAAAATCTGGGTAAATAAGAACATGATAAGCAAGAAACCTCCATAAGCGAGAGTTATTGTCTGGTCTCAACAAATCACATAAATATGTGAGAAACCTTTATTAGTGATTGATTGAACTGAACATATTTTGTTTAGGAAAGTTTATATACTAATGTAGTGGCCCTGTATGTCTTAATTTTTATGGAATAACTATGCTAACTATGGAATATTTAGTCTTAAATCTGAAATTAGCAGTAATGATTAACCATCACCAATAAATGAACCTTAACATTTTAAGATTAAAGCAAAATTTACACTTTATTCCTTATCCAGGCATGAATTATCCCATAAATTAAATAACTTCATACATACATATATTACCTGCCCAAACAAATCTGTTGCCTGTGGATTCCTCAAATGTTCTGCTAATCCTGTAGGTCCAGGAGCTACACTCTTCTTCCTGAGTCCAGAGAAGTCCCAGACTCGCACAGACTGGTCTAATGAAGCGGATACCAATAGGTCTTCGTTAGGATGGAATTGTGCGCACATAACATAATGGTTGTGCCCAGTTAGTACACTTATGCATTGACGTGATTGCCAGTTCCATATTCTTATTGTCTGAAAAAGATTAAAATTTTATAATTATCTGTGGTAGAATTTATTATAAAACTGGAACTTGCAATTTTTAAACGCATCTTTAACAAGAAAAATCTTTTTAACCAATAAGTAACTTATATTGTAATTTATATGTCTTGTTAGAATGAATAGTGAGGGGATACAAACATTGAGATTTTAGTAAGGCTAGTGTTGTGTCAATACACTGGCTTATTTTCGAATTTTCTTCCCAACAATCTATACCTAAGACTACTAATGCCAGATCCAAATATATAACAAAGTAAGGACATCGTCAACAGCAGAAAGTATGCTAAGTGATGGCAAATGTGTGATACCACTTTAAAAAAAATGTCTTTGCTTACCTGATCATCCGAAGCACTCAAGATCCATGGATACTCATGATGGAAGAATGTTGTCCGGATGTAATCTAAGTGGCCAAGTAAAGTAAAGAGACATCTTCTCTGATTGTAATTCCATACCTACACAAAGAAAACATGATTAACTTATCATAGGAAGTCCAACATCTCAACACTTTCTTGGTTAAAGAAATTAAGTTTTTTGGGGTACTTCTTTCTTCAAATTTATTGATTTTGTTTACAGATTGATTGATAGAATACTGGTAAAAAAAATATCAGCCCTGTAACACATGCTGTGATAATGTTTTGGCTATAAAACAAGACTAATTTATATAAAATAGCCAAATAACCATCAAAAATGATACCAAGAACATGGTGCACATCCTTAACTCCAAAATTTACTGACTGTCTTAATATTGCGTCATTTGATTCTGAATATAAACAAATTGTCTAAATGTAAGCGATTACATCAGTTCCTAGTGGTAGTTAGTGTGAAGAGTAATTAAGGGAATTTACTGTACCAACCTTGATCTTGTAATCATCACCCCCAGATACGAATAAGGGCTGCTGTATGTGGAAGCAAATGCCACGCACGGGGCCGTCATGTTCGTCAAATTTCTCTAAGAGTGTACACATTCGATAGTCCCATAGCTGAATCACACCGTTGTGTAAACTGGCAAGGACCCATGGCCGTTTGGAATGAAATGATATGCCCTTCACCCGAGCGGATTTAGTCTCAAATTTTGTCAACATTTCTTCACGTTTTTGCAAGTATTTACAGTTCTTTTTATTTCAAAAAATTATCTCAAACAATTCACGCCAGCAATAACGTCGACATGTCAAACGTCAAACCGGCTGACGTGACACGTCAGTAGCCTAAAACACCGAGAACAATAACTGATTTTATAATAATCAAAATTCTGCTGAAAATATTATAATCAGGCTACCAATGGCAACTACTACCTATTGTTAACTATTAACTCTATTTTACCTTCCGTTTAACGTATTGTTGTAATAAAATTTAGGTTTGTTTGATTGACTGCAAGCTTGTATACTCTTTTGCAATAATTTTTGCCCATGACTTGATTTTCTTTATTTACTCTTTGTATGAAATGTGACAGTTGTTTATAAACAAGTAGCCCATTTTTTCCCCGGTTTTTTGATAATTACAATAATTTTACATACATTTAGAACTCCAGAAATATATATAAATAGAGTTTTATTACAACTCAACTAATAAAAAAAACAATAAACGTTCGAGGCAGAAATAACCTAATTCCCATGAGTGATGGAGCAAAACAAATCAAAACCTATTGGCAAAATTTGTATACCAGGAATGAGATTATGTTCAGCAAATAAAGAGCGTATCGGTGGGCCAGGTACAAACGTACTCCAAGGTTATATTTATGCTGCATTGGCAGGCGTATTAAAAACGCAGGAAGATGAGAAAAATAAGGTAAGAGCAAAGAAAGATCATGTTATACAAAACTACATTTCAAAATTTATTTATTTCAAACTTACAGGTTACAGTCATATCTGTAGAAAGTCCGACAACCCCAAGTATCCTGCCAAAACCTGGAGATGTGGTCACAGCCAAGGTGACTGTTGTGAATTCCCGTGTAGTCCACTGTATAATACTATGTGTAGGCCCACACCTGGTCAGACCGTATAGAGGAGTACTCAAGAAAGAAGATATTAAATCAACTGATAAAGATAGGATTGATCCATACAAGTGTTTCAGACCTGGTGATGTTATTTTAGCCAAAGTTGTATCCTTTTTAATGTTTTTGTTTCTCCGCATTGATATATTCTAAACAGTTATATTAGAGGTACAACAGATTTTATAACATTTACTCTTGGCATATTTTTGTAGCAATAACTTTTTAATTATGAATATAAATTCACTAAGAAAAACTAATAAACATTTAAAAATATTATCCTTATATCAAATATACAGCTTCCCTTGACAGAGATTCACTGGTACCACCTTACAACAGCTGAAAATGAACTAGGAGTTGCTATAGCAACTGCAGAGGGTTCACCCCAAGGTGTCAATATGGTACCTATAAGTTGGTCTGAAATGCAATGCCCAAAAACACTAGTAAAAGAGCCACGGAAAGTTGCCAGGATTGTACCAGATTACTTTGATCAAAACCAAGTCATTTCTTACACCGATGCAGAAAATGAATCAAAGCCAATCAATGATCCTAAGTAAATGTAAATAATATTACTACAATAAAAATAAAATATTAAGAATGTTGTTTCAATTTAACATACATAAGTGTTCTAGTACTAAATACTTTATGCCATAATTTCTTTTTTTTTTTTTTCGATCTCTGAGCTTAACAAAGCAATAATCTTTCAAGATATGTTTGTTTATGACGGGTATTTTACAATGTTAGGGTATAAATTAGCTGTACCTACATTCCAATAGAGGTATCTTTTTTTCAAGAGAGGTGTGTCAAGACCGTTCAAAATAGGGGTCCGTGGTCCCTACCAGATCAAGTAGTTATTTTTATTACGAATATAGGTTTTGACTGTTTTAATATTAAAATAGTCGCAGTCTTTTTAGTTTTGCTTTTTGATAAAGCATGGGTTTATGAACGAAAAACGGAACGGAACGTACGTAATCTGTCAGCTGTCATGTTTTATCACTGATTGTGATTTTTACTCGTCTATAATTTTTATATACTTGCAGAATTATATTTTACGGAAATTTATTTTTCTTAACATGTATTATACGTTCAAGTGTTATAAGTGCATACCTTAAATCATTCCAATATTTTCGATTTATAGCGTTAACAAACATTAGATCATAACTTCTAGTTATCACTAAACAAACTTTTGTGGAGTACTTGTGAATAACTTTAGCTGTAGTTTAGTATTTTGTGATATTTCTTATCGTGAAGACGTATACAGGGAAGTAAGAAAATGAAATTTGCGGAGCACTTAAGTGCTCATATAACGCCAGAATGGCGAAAACAATACATCAACTATGAGGTAATTATTTATATTATACGTATTATTGAAGTAACGTTTATTTATTAAGAATATAAATCGTCTGTGTATGTCAACATCTGTATTACATTTACCAACCAGTGTGTATGATTTATAAATTTAAATTTGGTCATTGAACCATGTTAAATTGCTCTGTTAGTCTAGACAATTAAGAACTCTAAAAGTGTTATATAAAAAAGGAATTCGTGACATCCTTGAAATACATTTATCTTTTTATATTTGTGGCTAATGTTCCACTTTTCAAATAAATAAAGTAGATTTTTGAGAATATGCTTTAAAATAACATGAGAGTAACTAAAAAAAGTAATTTATGTGACATTATTAAAAAAAGAACAATTTTCAATTTATAACATAAATAATAAAAAAGACTCATAATTTTAACTTTAAGTATTGTGCAGTGGTTTAGTATTGTAAGGTTGGTACCATTATTGAACAAACCTTAGTTTAACTGTAAAATAGCTATCAAAAAATAAATAAGCTGTTGTTATAATAATTTATCACACTTAAAGATGTGCTAGCATTTTATTTCACTAAAATATTGTCTTAATATCATCCATTATTAGTTACATTATTTTTAACACATCCTACAAAATATATAAAACAAACTACAATATAGAAAAAACAATAAAAATCTTGTATCAGTTTTTGTTACAATAAAAGATTGAACCGATAAAGTTTATTGTAGGAAATGAAAGCAATGCTGTACACCGCGGTGGAGGAGGCACCATCAGCAGAGAATGTGGAACCTGAAGTGTTGTCAAGGCACTTCGCCAACTTTGATGAGACTTTCTTCCATTACTGTGATCAGGAACTAAAGAAGATTAACACTTTCTACTCAGGTATACTTAAATAATTTGCTGATGTATAGTGTAAAAAAAGAGATTTAAAAAAAAATTACAATAGATAGTTTTTCAGTCTATTATACATTTTGACTTGCACTATTTTGATGGAAATGCATTATGGATGGAAAAAGTATTATGTGTTAATATTTTGTATATTTGCAGAGAAACTTGCAGAGGCTACTCGTAAATTTGCTACTTTACAAAGTGAACTTAAATCTCAATTTGATATGATGAAGCCGAAAAGTGGAGGCGACAGTAAAAAGGCGATGCCACGCCGTAAAGTACAGGAATTGAAACTGGCATTCAGCGAATTCTATCTCAGTTTGATACTATTACAGAATTACCAAAATCTAAATTATACTGGCTTCAGGAAAATATTGAAAAAACATGATAAGGTAAGGATCTATGATTTATTAAATGGCAAACATTTCTTTTAGTTTCTAAAGAAATTCATAACTAATGTAAATGTATATTTGTCCTCTGGTTAAATTAAAATCTAGTTAATTTCTTCTGTCGCATTAACCTAGCAGTTATACCTTTGACAAATTGTCCGTGGGTTTCAGAGACAACAATCTCTGTATAAAACATATCTCCATCCCGATCATTGTCTTTGACAACACAGATAGGGTTGCCAGGTCACTTAACCTAATAGCTAGACCAACCAGTTTAGTCGGACTTTAAGAAAGGGTAGAAAGGCCAGACACCATACATTTTTGCATTCGGCCAATATACTTTGCAAAATGTAAAACGCCGGACAACCTGGACACTGTTTGTAAATGCTGGACAATGGACAATACAATGGCAATTGTAATGAGTACCTATGTCCAGCTTTATTCAGACACTTGGCAATGCTAAACACACAGATAATTATATGTTTTAAACTAAGATTTTGGACTCGGAAAACCCATGGTGAATCTTGTAAACAGTTGTCAACCCTGTGACAGAGAATTAACATACAAAACTTGTAAATAGTTACAATTTATTGTCAATAGTTGTTAAACGTTAGCAATGGGGCGCTGTGGCGGGCGGAACATGTGGAATCTTCACACTTCTACACCAACAAAGACATTGATCGACTGATCAGTGACACAGAGGCTACAGTGACTAATGAGTTGGAAGGTGGGGATAGACAGAAAGCCATGAAGAAGCTAAGAGTGCCACCTCTAGGAGAGCAACAAAGTCCTTGGACAACATTCAAAGTGGGATTATTCTCTGGGTCGTTTATAGTACTTGCTATCACTGTGGTTTTGTCCGGTAAGTTCTTTATTCAACAATTTATAATCACGGAACATGTTGACATATAGTCATTTCTTTCTTTCTCACTGAATAGATAGAGATAACAATATTTTTTGTACTGGTTCAAATAGCATAGCATTTATACTAAATCTTCCTTAATTAACCCATTCATGCCATACAAAATGTTGTAGCATTGAAGGTGTTAAGTCATTTCTTAGTTTAACAATAGCTTTATTAAGACCAAATATTAGCAAACACACAATGTTATAAGGTATGCAGAGATAATAATTGGATTAACAATAACCTTAGTGAAAATCAAATATTATCTAAATGCAGATAAGAATGTACCATAAATTGTTTTTGTTCTAACGTTTCAGTAAATATTTCCTTATCTTTACAACAATTACTGACCGTAGCTAATCTATGTATGTTTGCGTAGATTATGTTTGAGTTAACCAGTTTTATTGCGCTTTTAAATTACCTTATAATAATGAATAGTGTTTAATAATTACAAGTAATTTCAAGTTTTGAAAACCTTACATAACTTATTTTCAGTAAATTGAACGGAGAATTTGTACCTAAGATATATAATATTTTATTTTATTTATTTATTATTAAATGTATACACATATACAATTACACAGATAGGTTGAGCGTTGGAGCTTGTCATAGTATGAACTGTGTGACAAACACCGGCACATTTCCTTTAAAATATACATAGTTAGCAAATTGGTGTGTGTGCGTGTGTTTGTGTGTGTGGATTTCTTAGAAAGACTAACTTACCGTGGGTTTCTGAGACTACAATCCCCATTTAAAACATGTTATCTCTGTTTTATCAAAGATAATAACAGGGATGACGATACATATAGAATTTTCATTTAAAATATCTTTGTCTCTTTCAGCTCTATTCCATGAAGGTGCGACAGAAAACTTTAAAACGGCATTCCGGTTATACCGTGGGCCATTCCTTTTAGTACAATTTATATTCTTGATAGGCATCAATGTTTACGGTTGGAGATCTTCTGGAGTCAATCATGTATTGATTTTTGAATTAGATCCAAGGAACCATCTTTCTGAACAACATTTGATGGAATTAGCAGCAATATTCGGTGTTGTCTGGGCACTTAGTATACTAAGCTTTATATATAGTGCAAGTCTCAGTATACCACCTTTTGTAAATCCATTGGCTCTTGTTATTATAATGATTGTGTTCCTTGTCAATCCATTGAAAGTGTTCAGACATGAAGCGAGATTCTGGTTCTTGAGGATATGTGTAAGTTTATTTCAGACATTAATATTACGTATATTACGAATTAGCTGTCGCCCGCGACTCTGTCCGCGTGGATATATAAAAAACTTATTATAATTAGTGTCCCCATCCATCTATCCCACATCACATCCATCTAAACAATTAGTAAGTTAAATAAAAAGCAGCTCTTCAAGGCATAAATTCGAAAAAAAATGAATAAATACTATCCTATGTCCGTCTCCTAGCTCTAAGCTACCTCCTCACCAATTTTCAGGCATATTGGTAAAGCCGTTCTTGAGTTATAAATAGTGTAACTAACACGACTTTCTTTTATATATATAGATGGTTATGTTTGGATGGATATTTTTGGAATGTATCTCTGGAACGGTTGTATGGATCTCGCTGATATTTAGCATAGATGTATGCCTGGAAGAACACCTAGGCTACTGATTGTTTTTTTTTAATTCCACGCGGACGGCGACACCTAGTATTTTTTATAAAAAAAAAACTAATGATACAATGGTATCTGCTGTTAAGTCGTGATAATTTCACTATTTTTCATTTAAAGTAACATTTTATTATGCCTAAATTTTTTAGTTTTGTATCTTGTTACTGGGGTATATTGTAAGTAAATTCATTTGTTTTTTTATTTATTTATTTCAGGGTCGTATATTAGCAGCTCCGTTTATGCCAGTGTTGTTCGCGGACTTTTGGCTGGCGGACCAATGGAACTCTTTTGCTGCGGCCTTCTTAGACTTTCATTATCTCGTTGTCTTCTATATTGTTGGTGGAGATTGGTTTAATGTTAATGGTGAGTTTAAAATTATTTTTAGTATAAGCTACCTAGCTTCTATAAGAATAAAAAAATTATAGCATTTATAATTTTATTTGCCACGTCGGGATAAGACCCGCACCAACTTAGTTTAGTTTTACTTAACCCGATAGTTTGATCATGCGCTTAATCAGTCATCATCAGCTCACTATACGTCCCTACTGAGGGGGCTCGAAGCCTACCCTAAGAAAGGTGATTAGGCCATAGTCAACCACGTTTAATCAGTATGAGGTAATCGACGTGGCAAATGAAATTATTCATGGTATAAGTTTTTTTTTTCTTATAGGAGCGGAGGCTCCAAGAACTCTAAGGCTCTCTTTTACCTTATGTTGCCAATGTAAATTTTAGACTTTGAAAATGTTTTTCGTCGCTTAATGAAAATATAAGATTTAATGATTTGGATTACAGATTCGTTCGAATCAGAATCTTGGTTCATAATATCTCGAGCGTTGGTGAACATAGTGCCGGCGTGGACTCGCTTTTGGCAATGTCTGCGTCGGTACAGAGATAGTAAGGAGGCGTTCCCGCATTTAGTTAACGCTGGGAAATACTCTACTACGTTCTTTGTGGTTCTCTTCGCCACTTTACGGACTATGTACAGCAGTGAGTATAGCTTTCCACTTTTTTATCAATCGATCAAAAGATCTCAGAAACCAACAATAAAATGTTATTTTTAACATGCTTGTCATTATCTTTGTTAAAACAGTGATAACGTATATGATTTAAACAGAGATTTTTGGCTCACAAACAAAGTTAGTGAATCTCTTGCAGCTACATCTTCTTCATTTTTTTATATTATAAAGTTGCAAACGAATGCGGTCACCCGGATTCGAAGTAATAGCGAAGCGATCCGTAGACAGCTGCAATCGCAGATGTCTTAACTACTAGATGTGCTAGTTTAAAAGACGGCGGAGGGGACGCACATAAAGAGAACATTGTCCCTTCCTATGCCTCTCCTTCTGGTCAAATCTACTTCCAAAAAGAAGACTAAAATTAGACCTCTGACACACAGACGAAACGCGGATTTTTTTTTTTATATTGAATAAACCTGTACTTAATGACAAATTTGATAGTAAGTGGCTATGTAATCGACGATGGTATGTACGCGCTTAGTAAATACGTGGCACGTTAAAGCTGGATACTGACGCTGGTAACTTATTCCAATTCTTGGAATTGCTTCTAACTAACGTTAGCCGGTCTATTGGTGCAACCAATATAATTGTTAACTCTACCACAGTTCTCTCTCAAATATCAATACAAAATATATTTTAATAAAATACGTGTTTTTTTGTATTAAAGAGAACTATACGGACACATACGACAACCCGTTCTTGTACGCGTGGTTTACTTGCCAGCTGGTCTCCTCTCTGTATACGTATACATGGGACGTCAAGATGGATTGGGGACTCTTCAGCTGCGGACCCTCAGCTGAGAATAAGTTCCTCAGAGAGGAGATTGTCTATAGTCCTGGAGTGAGTCTTACTTCTTACTAATATAAATGCAAATGTTTGGATGCTCAATGATTTTTTTATGAAATTTGGCATAAATGTAGAACATATACTGGAAGAATACATAGGTTACTAATTTTTTTTTAATAATTTTGGGCAGGAGGAGTCGCGATCAACTGCTAGTTGATTACTGCTTGTTTTATGTTAACACTAGCTGTTGCATGCAACTCCGTCTGCACGATATTAAAAAAAAATACTAAGTAGCGTATTGTTCTTCCAGGCTATTTAGATGTAGATCTATGTCAAATTTCAGCGAGATTTATGCAGACGTTCCGGATATATTTATATATAAGTAAGAATATACAGAAAAATATAATGAATTTTCCAATTCCTAAAGTGATATAAATACATATTGCTATCTCTATTCTTTCAAAGTGAATGAGAGAGATGACAATAGTTTTACACGCAACCCTTTGTATCAGTTCTACTACTTCGCGATTGTTGAGGATTTCGTGCTACGCTTCATATGGACTGTGTCATTCGTGTTGACTGAGAACAAACTCGTCAGCTCAGAGACTATGGTCTCTATACTCTCACCATTAGAAGTCGTCAGGTAAATAATAGGCTAAAGATATCATCAGCTCACTATACGTCTCCACTGACAACAAGCCTGCCTGAAGTTAGGGGTAACTAGGCCAGACAATGCTGGCCCAGTGCGGGTTGACTTCACACATATCTTTGAATGCAACATCACGATGTTTACCTTCACCATAAGAACGTCGGATATAGCGAGATTTGAACTCGGGGCTTGCAAATTACAAGTCAAGTGCTTAACCCCTGAGCCACAGACGTTTTGTACATCATGTTGTATTTATATTTATCAATAAAACATTTTGCAGCTTTCATGATATCTTGATTTATTTTAGTCCATTAATATGTTTTCATTATGCTGGCAATACTAGGAATTTCCACATTTCTCTTGACTTTCTTATACTACTTTAATTGATTACTAGTAATAAACCATTTCAGACGTTTCATCTGGAACTTCTTCCGTTTGGAGAACGAACATTTGAACAACTGCGGCAAGTTCCGTGCTGTACGGGACATATCTGTCGCACCCCTCGACTCCTCCGACCAGGCGGATATCTTGAGGATGATGGATCATCCGGATGGCGTTGTTAACAGGTACATACACAAGCCCACAAGCACACAGACAAACACATATAAATAATATACACACGAGATGCTACACACACATACGTATACGCACTCTCGCGCACGCACTTACGTACATGTATACGTACTTAAACACAAAATTCGCTAACATACGTTTTTTCGTATATTGAACGTGGATAAGGGTCCAAGAGAACATGCATTTTTCTCGCTTATGAAGGTCGTCCAATAGAACTGGACAATAACTCACTAATAGAGAAGGATAACAAGCGAAGAAATGTTCTTCCTAAATTCAAGCGCCAATAGCCTAATGGTTAAAAGTACGGATTCCCTATCAGGTGGTCGGGGTTTCGAATCCCGTCATTCGACTATTGTTAACCATGTCCTAGCACAAGTTTAGAGCTTAGTTGGAATGGTACAAGAAATATTATGAAAATTATAAAATTAAAAAAAAATTGAGAACCAGAAACTATTAGTAGATATCTTATGGATAGAGGATAGTAAAGTGATTTAAGCTTGTCTTCCACCAGATTAACAAAGAAGAAACATCCAAGGAAAATGAAAGAGAACGACAGAAGAACGCTGCTGAAGAAGGAATCAATACAGGACCTGCAGCTAGATCTAGACTTGAGCACAAAGATGTTGTAACTAACTGTGATATGTTTTACTTATTGATATTATTTATAAGCAATGTTATCACTAGTATTATTATGCAAAATATATTTATAGATATCAAGATATTTCTCTTGTTGTTTTATTATGTTTATTTTTTTTTCTACTCTCCGGCAACTCATTGTTGTGGCTGGTCAACTAGTTATTTGATTGTTTCACTGATATGCGATTATGTGGTTGTATGGTAGACCAGTGGTTCCCAAACTTATTTTGTCCATGCCCACTTTGAGAATAAATATTTTTTAATACCCCATATTTTCACATATTTAAAAACCAATATAACTTCAAATTAAATTAATTGTAGTGACCTATATATGTATATTAACGGAGAATTCTAAACGAAACTTTTACTATAACCCGCAACTTGAGACCTGCAGCGCCCACAAGGGGGCGTTATCGCTCACTTTGGGAAAGACTTGTATAAATGGATAGGCGATTGCTTAGAAATGACAACCTTTCATTCGTTCCGGTTCAAACGTGCGTATTGATGTTACATGACGTTTAATTCTATCTTTATTATTAGTTCGAATCCACACCACCGCTTCTAACCGCTACCATCAGCGACAAAATGGTGAAAATCGAACTGTCACAAAATACTACTCTTATAGCCAGACATCTAGAAGTCATTGGATTGGTTGGTTAACAACTCAATTGATTGCTCAACTTATTTGCTTGAGTCGTCTAAGGATTTGTCAAAATTGTAAACTTCTAAATTGATAAATTTACTACTGGCTATTGAAAAAAATGGTACTTATGATTTTTTTAATTAATAAATTAGTTGGGTAAAAAATGTTACAATGAAATAATCAACATTAGTTATTTTATTTTAAAAAATAATTTAAAAACTTCACATTTGTTTACTTAGTGTACACTAAGTGATATAAAAAGAGTTCTGTTGTAGACATAAATTTAACATAATAGATTTTACTTATAAGTTTCTTATATATAGCAATTTTAACTGACACATTGGTTAATACAGGGAAATTTTTTTCCATAAAAATACTGTACGGAAATAACCAAAAAAGGTTGCATATATTTAAAAAAAAATCAAACAGAACATAACATAATAAAAGGAGAAAATTAGGCATTCAAATATTGCCCATACATTAATTTATATTGAAGCATAAATTTACTAAAAATTATATATTTTCAGTTTTATGTAAATTCATATTTATCTATATGTCCTAAGAAAATGTTTACATATATAGCAATATTCGAAAATATAAAGCTGACAAAATCAGACAAAGCTTTCGCATAAGTTTAATTGAATTTGTTCTTATTAATTCGTAACAATTATTTACATAAAAGGCGTTGCGAACATCTGTGGGAATCAATGTTGCCATCCTGAAAATACAAATTATTTGTTGTATTAAAACATATTGCTGTCCCAATTTTTAAAAATAGTGTGAAAGGGATGAGAATATTATTCAACAGTAGAAACCCACAGATAACTTCTCTGTCATTTTATAATACAAGTGAAAGTCAATTGGATAGTGAAATAGTTACCAGGGCATCATATATGGCTAGGAGCGTAATGCTTCAAGGCGGGACTGCATCTCATCCAGTTCAGTCTCATCGGGCTCGGCAGGCTCGCGGCTGGTTGAGGGCGCACCTACCGCGCTGGGTGGCGCTGGTGCTTCGCCCAGCTTGCCTTGTGTTAGCTCCCACAACACCTATGGAATAAACAATATTTTACTTTCCAGTAGGTGGCTATAATATTGGAAATAGCGTACAGAATCTGAGTATGCAGTTTTAGCTTAGTCAAAGAGGTCAGAATTACATAAGTCAAATCACAGTCATAGAAATACTAGTTGCTGCCTGTGATTCCGTCTGTGCGGAAAAAAAATAACCAAATCCATGCCATTCTGGAGTTACCTTCAAACAAACATCTATCCATCCATATATCCAAACATTTCATTTATAATATTAGTAAGATATACCTCTAGCAGTTGTAATATAATTTACCTTATCAACTTCACTCTGTGCAGCTTCCTCCATTTCCTCTTCATCCTCCACAGCTGACATGGTCTCGTCTAGCATTTCCTCAATAATACCCGCACGCATCATCTCCTTGCTCATCTCCTGCATGGTCTGTGCCACTTCTGGTAATCTTATTAGAGCTTGCATTGCTTGCATCACCTAAAATTATATACCACACACATATAAAATACATATCCAAAAACTTTGAATGAAAAATATAAAAACCTCATTTTAATAATTACATTTATTAATCATCATCATCATAATTGTCAGCCTGAATTCATCCACTGCTGAACATAGGCCTTCCCCATCATTTTTTTTTAAATAGAAAATAAGAAATATGTACCTCAGTTGACTTCTGCAATGATCCGGCTATCCTTAATGTGGCTGAAATATAAAATTATTTACATAAAATAACATATAAAATAACTTACTCATGGTTTAATTTTCTGTACAATAGCATAAAGTCTTATATACCATTAGTTTCCAAGATCATAATCTCTGTATAAAACATGTTATCACTGATTTGTTCAGAGATTTCAATAGATTTTTAATAGAGATTTTGATCTCAAAACCCAATGGTAAGTCTGTAACCTGACTTTAAGAATTGATTATTGGATTTGTCTATTAATAGCTTTTTTTTATATCATAAGGTGGCAAACAAGCGAGCGGCCACCTGAAATAGTGAAGTGACCATTGCCCATAGACATACGCAATTGCATATGCGTTGCCTACCTTAAATCGACGGAGGAGAGGATGCAAGCTTATCTAAATTGTAGTGTTATAAACATTACCTAATTGGTTTTTCATCTGCATCTGAACAGAGTTGAGATGAGCTTTACTTGTATATATTTTACTAATAGCTTTCCTTGATCTAATTATTTCCTTTGCTAATATTGTACACACTTGCTTATCGTTTTTGCCAGCTGCTTCTTTCAAGGATCTTTTAATTTTTTCCTCTTCTCTTTGAATTGCTATAAAGAAAAAATAAATACATGCAAATATCATGATGTTTTTCAATACTGTAATATAATCAAAGACAGGATACTTTTTACACTGATTTATTTTAAACGTAACTTCCTATTCAATGTATCGAATGACTTGATGATACCACCTTACAATTAGACCTATCTCTAATCATTTCTTCATTGATTTATAATGTAAATTTGATTTGGTCGAGAAATATATCTCTAGAATTAATTTTAATAACTTACCTCTTATTTGTCTATCCAAATTATAGCCTTCTTTACGAAGTTTATGAGACCATTCGTTTACCTAGAATGTGTTTTTAATCATGGATGTAAGTAAACAGATTACAACACTATAATTTATGTCGTATTATAATTACCATTTCTTTCGGATTTCGCTCCGGAGATTTACCAAACAAGCCCATCTTTATTGTTCTTAAAATTAAATAAATATAAATATGCGAATTTCTGTTTGGGCAAATCTGACATTAATTTGACATTGACAGAAAACAATGATGACCTCATTGGATGATTTGATGTGTCGTCGGAGAAAACAAGCGGTTTTATTTTATTTCATTTTTTCGATTGAAGAAAATGAAGTTGAAAAAAATAATACAAAAAACACGTACTCGTACACTTTAATTGGTAACATAAAATAGTCCCATAAGAAAAGGGTCTAAAAAGGATCGTGTGATTAGTTCCTTTCATTAAATTGTATTGCTGGGTATTGCTGGCAATAATGAACACTTCTCTGTCAGTTGCGGGAATACAAATGTGATGTTGTTATAAAAATTACTTTTCGGCAAAAATTGTTTATTTCAAAGAACTTACATTATTTATTAATACTAAATAATACAGCTAATAATCGGTATTGCGTTTTGTGTGAAGGACACGAAGACAGTGAAGTTTTATAAATAACCAGGTAAGTTGTTATTTTGGGCTCTTTTAGTAATTACAATGTTGAAAACAATTTCAAACGCTGTAGTTATTAATAGGACGCCACGGTAAATAATTCACCGCCACTTAAACGAAAGACGATGGTTTATATTACTTTGCATTACGTATTATAATTTTTAATTCATACAAAATGTAACTAAAAATATAATAATTTTTCCCAGCGTCTTAGACTTCTATATACCTACACTGAATAACAGTGACCAAGCATTCGCAAATAGTATTTGAAATTTCATGCACTGCCACCAGATCCCTTATTATTATATCTCAATCCTATTCCTCTATTTAAAATAGGTGTAAAGCTTAAAAAAACGTTAATAGAGAACAAATGCTTTACCTGAAGTGTGAAAAAAGGGGGGTTATGATAAATTTAAAAATTAATGGAAAAGATTATTCCTAATGGGTAACATTCATACTAATAACAAGATTATTCACAAATAATAAAGCTTGCTGCTAGAAATAATCCTACCAAGTGCAGACCCAGATGAGTATTTTTTCATTCTATTTTTTGTCTTACAAACAAATTATGGTAGAACCAGACCACCACTACTTAGTAGATATACTAAAGTATTAAGTACAGACAGCCCACAGCAAATTTGGAGTACACTATTATATTATTGTAATCACCTTACTGAAACACACCATCCTTATCTCCTTTTTTCATACTTTGTGGTTACCTTCATAATTAGTTACTATACTAACTATATTTGTGGTTTAAGGATGGATATGTGCCACTTCAACTTGTCTAGTGCCATGTAACCCTAGCATTCTTTTAGAGGTATACTCGGTGAAATCTATACTAATATTATGAAGAGGATTTTTTTTTGCATTGAATCGACTCCGAAACTACTGAATGTATTTGAAAAATTATTTCACTGTTGGGAAGCTACACTATCCCAAGGTGATATAGGATATGTTATTTAATTTTTTTTTATTTGTGTAGACAAAGTTGCAGTCAACTCCTTTATAACATAAAATTAACCAGTCACAAAATTATTTTTTATTGTGGATAAGCGTTAATCATATACCATGACCATGACATAGAAAACTGGATGTTTCAAGCACAACATGTGTTTCTTGCATTTATATACTTTTTTCGTGCAAACGAAGCCACAGGCAACTGACTGTTATATGACATGAAGTCATATACATATTTTTTTTATTTATCAACATTCGCCACATTCAGATGTCGCAGTGTATTCGTCACAATGTTTGCGTAAGAACGTTCTGAATTGCGATGCATGTGGTTTGCGAAACGCGGCCTGTAACACAAGACGTGCTGCATGTAGGGTGACCATGGTGAAATCGTAGAATGCGGGAAAAACAATATGGAGATTGGGTATTATCTTTTTTTAGGGTAGTAGCTGAAATCGAAATGCGCATTATGTTTAAAAGAAATTTTAGGATGGAAACCATAAATAATCTTTATACGTACCTACCAGTATTTCCACATCTATCCTGTAATTTAAGGACACGGAGGATGGATGGTTAGATGGATGTTGGCTAAAAGATTTTTCAAAAAGGGTCCACGTATCTTACTGAAATTGGGCGGAGATATAGAACATAGTCTGGACGAACACACAGGCTACTAATTATGTTTTATTTTAATTCCGCGCGGACGGAGTCGCGGGCAACAACGACTTTCATAAAACCTTCATTTTGTTCAGAAATTAATCATCAAAGGTCACCAAGGGATTTCCTTAGTGTATATTAAGCATAGCATAATAGCATACTAAGCGATTGTTTGAATAATCCTGAATGCGGTAATAACTTAATATTAAATAATATCAACAGTTCTACTATGTAATTATATTTTGGTGTGATTAATTTATTTGGGTAGTAATTACATGTTGTGACGTCAGATGTTTTTAATTATTGTAAAAGTAATCCATAGAAAGTATTTGTTGTTTTTGTACAGTCACCTACAATTTCAATTATGACAAATGAGTTTTATTAAGGATGTTATACTCGCAAACAATGTTAACCGTACAATCACAATGAATGAATGAACTGCAACTGATATATGAATGGGCTTACTCACTGGAGCCATATTTGAAACAAATTTGTGGCTTGACCGATTTTAAAGTTTGAAATAATTTCTTCTCCAAAGTATTTTAAAGGTGCAATTCAGTAATTCCAGAGTGTTTTTCTTATTTTTCCCGTCCGAGTTTTTGGTTAAAATAATCAAAATCCATGTTTTAATTTAGATTGACTTAAATAATCTAGTGTTATTTTCATACATATTATATAAAAAATGTTTTTTTATTTTTGTGCATGACTGTATCATTGTCGTATTTTTCACTGATATTGATAAAGTCGATTATCCTATTATTTGGTCAATGTACTCCATCACCTTTGATAACTTTATATTTTTATCTTTTCTTCTAATCAGTGAAGAATTTTAAGATTTTTTTTTCTCTATTTTAAGTCAAAATATTTTTGCATAGATAGATAAAAAAACTGTCCCAAAGAGGTTACATACGTGCCTAAAACCTATATATTGTCTTGTCGAGTCTTGTACAGATTAAAAATATCACAATCTCACAGAACATATAACAGTATGTTTTTGTTTCGTCTTATTAGTGAGGCGTATGAGACCCAATTCGCGTTGTCTTCTGTTATGACACATGGGTGTTATTTTCTCACTATCTCGAAAAAAGTAGCCAGTGCTTGTCTATAGCACTTCGTATTGTTCTCTGCCTAATAGTGCACTTGTTGAATATTTTTTTTTTTAGGAAAATTTTATATCTTAATATTTGCTATTTAATCTACTTTAGTGGTGCCCTATCTAGGTATGAATATCCGTGAGCGTATCTTTTGTGTTGGTTACTTCTACTTATGCTAATTATATGATTATCGTGTCACCTTGGATTTTCTATATTATTTATATGTGTATTTATTATTATTTATTTAGATTTTAGACAAACATCTACAGTTCCTCTGGTGTTGCAGATGTCCATGGGTGTCGTTGATCACCTCGGTGTTCCCGCCGCTCGTTTGCCCCCTTCTCTTATGAAAAAAAAAACAAAATTACGTGCATCGAATTTTATAAAAATAAATCAAACCCTTTTTCCACTAATGATTTGTCGCTCTGATTTTGCGTATAGCCTTTGGCAAGCAGATAATGAAGGTTGTAAAGTTAGGCACTAGTTTAACATGTGTTGTTTATTATAACATCTGTGTACTATAAATTATGTTGCTAGTTGTAAATAAATCTATATCTATATACAATTAATAAATTAGATTGTCTGTATGTAATATGAAGAATAAAATTATATTTCGTGCACATTATGTATTTTTGACTATCTGTTCGCAAACCAGTGTTTATTCCGGGCAATCTCCGAAGTACGAGTAGCTGGCTGGCTGGCTGGACCGATTGTAATGGGCTTTTTGCTGGAATGTAGCTTATGTGTGCGGGGTATAAGCTACTTTTTTAATTTCGCGCTGTCGAAGCCGCGGGTGACAGCTATTCGATAATAAATCTAATGTTTTATGATAGTGTTATCTAGAATGTTTATAACTGACGCACTTGGTCGTATCTAGCTAACATCCAGGTCACTCGCGATCTAATGACCTGCGACATAACAGATGTGATCTTCCATTACGTACGAAAGGGCAATACGCAAATACTTGTGTTATCTTACTAATATCATAAATCGAATGTTTGGATGGATGGATGGATGGATGTTTGAAAGTATCTCCAGAATGGCTGAACGGATCTTGAGGATATTTTGGATACATATAGAACATAGTCTGGAAGAAATTACTAATTAAGTTTTTTTCTAATTCCGCGCGGATAGAGTCGCTGGCGATCGCTAGTTTTAAATTACAAACTTACTTTTTGCTATGTTACTGATATTATGAATGCGAAAGTTTAGATGGATGTCTGTTAGAAAGAAGCACCAGAACGACTCAACGGATCTTGATGAAATTTGGCATAGATGTAAAACATAGTCTGGAAGAACACATAGGATTATTAAGTTTTTTAAATCCCGCTCGGACGTCTATACACGGCTCCTTTTTGTTACCAAAAAACTCTCCTAAAGAATGGATAATAAATGCTATTTTAGAGCGATGTATTGCTTCAAATTGGCAGCAACAAAGGTATTCATCAGATGAATTAAGATACGACATATCCTGCAGATGCTTAACGATACGTGCACAAAAGGAAACTAGTTGGGTTAGAGCGGATGGATGCTTACCTATTATTAAATTTAATTGAAATTAACCAGTATAGGACGCACGACATGTAACTGTTATAAGAACCAAAAAAAATAAAATAAAGGTCTTATCTTTTATTGCTAATAGGTAACAATATGATAAAATAAGCTTAATTTGGTGTTCGTTTTTTTGTTTTCTCATCTCATCAGGTTTATATCATACTAGCTGTTGCCCGCAACTCGGTGCGCCTGTATCAAAACACGTAGAAGCTTATGCAAAGGAACATCGCGTGACTCGTTCGGTTACCATCAATTACCACCGGTATTGGTCAATTGACGGGCCGCTTTGGGGTTCCGATTGTGACATTTGCGACATGTTGTCGCCCGCTTGTATGTACATAACAACGTTTCCTGTATTATCGCGTGTTTATTGCTGCTTCATGATACACTTCATGTTCTGGACTTATGAGGTTAATTTGCAGTAAGGAAGATAATCATCAGCCGGTGCCAGTCTACTGCATGATGTAGGTCTTCCCTTAATACCTTTCCCATGGTTTGCGTAAGCTGTGATTTCCGCATCCAACGACTTTTTCCTTTCCCACAATTTTTCTTATAAGGAAAGGATGGGAAGTGGAAGTGGACTTTCCAGATGAGGGGATGCATGGGAAGGGAAAATATTTTCTTTCTGTGCATCCTCTCCTCTGTCAATTAAAGGTAGGCAACGCATATGCAATTGCGTATGTCTATGGGCAACGGTCACTTCGCTACTTCAGCGATTTCAGGTGGCCGCTCGTTTGCCACCTTTATGATATAAAAAAACCTCTGGATTTAGGTTATACGCGAAAATATGTAATAGCCTTGAATCATCAATAATTATATATTAAAAATTTATAGAAACGTGTATTTGAATTTGTAACCGCATACCATCTTTCGAACACATCATTACTTTCATCAAGTGTGTTCGTGGTCAAGCGTAAACTTATTTTATATTTTAATAAAAAATCTTTGTCCATGGATATATTCATCAAATAATCAACATTTTTCATCAGAGCATAGTTTTAAAGAGGGACTGTGATCTTTTGTACAATTTAAAAACTTTTTTTAAATAATCCAGTAGGAAATAACAGATCGCACCATAATCAAGGTCAAATGGTTAGAAAAATATCAATTTAATGGTATACCATTTATTAGATAAAACTAAAGGTAAACAAGAAATCTATCATGGTCAACAGTGTGACGATTAATAGATGTATTTATTATGTTATGTATCATCTGATGAACGGAGACCGTGACATAGATGAGAGATAGAATATAGGATAAAATGTGTTTTTTTTTTGCAAAGAATGTTAAAGGTCGTTTATAAAGGCCCACTAGAGATTGGGAGAGCGAACGGTGCATTGGGTAACAAAATTTAGTTATAAGGATAGTGGGTTTCTAAGAACAATATGTCTGTACAAAACAAAGGATAATATGTTTTATACAGAGATTTTGGTCTCTGAAACCCACAGTTAGTATAACAAAGAACTGTCGGCTAGTTCTCCGATGTTTACTACTAAAGTAAAATTAAGTTATAAGCATTAAATTATAAAAGTACGCGTAGATTTCATTTAAAAATCTACTTTAAGATACTTAGTAATCACTAATCAACTCTAAGTGCTGCACTAAGGCAAAAAAACTTGTAACCCAGAGTCGACAATCATTTGGACGCTAGTAAAGTTGCATATTTTTTACAATGTTATATCAAATTATGTTTCTATATGTCTTGTCTGCTGATGACTGCAATTTATAAACTCGCTCCCATGACCGAGCCGGTTTTTTAAATTGCAGACCGCGATAGTGTTTACCCAGTCCTGTTTTCATAGCAGGTGTGAATACTAAAAAATAAACTTATTAGGGTTTTATATTCTTACTAGTTGTTTACCGCAATATTATAAGCTTGGAGTTTAAAAATCTAAGACAAACTTACACCCTTCCCCATTTGGACTCTTACAGGACTCTTTTTTTCTTACAAACTTTGCATCCGGGGGGGGGGGGGGTGTTCAAGGCCTTTAGGTATCTCCTGTTCCGTAAAATTCTTTTATAATATTCTCGTATGTAGTAACTGTCTTTAGGACTGTTATCTACGCTGTGAATAATATTCCAGATGCCAACTATCACGTCATATTTTGCCCTTTGCAGGATAAATTTGAGACAAGCTCGAAACGTGTTGTAAAAATTTTGTACTGAAAAATGCATAAGGGAATGCGAATTTGTATGTGATTTTTTTTTATTTAAAATCCTATGCATAATAAACATAATAAGCAATGTTGATTATAATGACAACTTCGCAGATATTTTCGTTATATGAATATTTTTATAGCAATTTAGCTAATGTTTCCATAAATAATTGATTGCTTTTAAAATTTGCATATATTCGACAAAACTTCGTCCGCAGTAAGTTGGGAAGCGTATACGTCGTAGTGATTAGTCGCGCTGGCACTTGACTAGCGGTGTGTTTCAGTCTTGCAAGAGGCGTGCGCGTGCGCAGACGTGTGACGTCACGCGGACTGACGTTGCTCTATTATGTAAAAATTCACCTCATTTCTCTTCCTATTGTTGCAAAGTGCATTTAATATATCCACAAAATATAGTGATTGTAATTGATAATTTCTATGTGATCAGTGCTAGTAAGGTAAAATTAAATACGTTTTATTTGTGGAATTTGATTATTTTGTTATGTCGATTTCTCTTTCGGGCACGCGATTTGATGAGGGAATAAGAAATTCTGATGTTATACATAGTAATTTGCGAAATACATGTTCTACATTTTTTTTAGAATCGCGTCTCGTGGTTGCGGTCTGTTTGTTTGGATTTTGCGAGCAGAAATTCTTTATTATGTTGTGTTAAGATACCTTTATGTATACATGCATGGAGCCAGACGTAATGTATGCACAGTTCGAAATATTTGACACCTGATTTCAATATTAATTACGTTATTGTATCATATAAACGTGCGTTGCATATATAATTAAAATGTAATCAGCACACATATTCGGAGTAAGCAGAGGTTAGTTAACAGGTCGAATAAATAATAATACAAAAGAAAAAAATGTTATTATTTCTTTTAAATATTAAAAATTTATGTTTATTAAAAACATCAAACCAATTTGTTGTCTTGTCTTCAAGTCGTAACAAATACCGATATAAATAGGTATAAAACAAATTAAGTTGCGTTAACAATTTGTTTGTATAAAACAATTACAATTCTATTCTTTAGTATTAATCAAATACAATGGAATTGTTCAAATACTAGTGTTGTAATTGAACCTATCGTTATATAGGTCTTCACCTTACCTTGTTTCATAATTACGTTTCATTTTCTTTAAATTCTAAATTTAACTCTGCTATATTTTGATGTTTACTGTTTAGTTATGACGTAAGAACAACAGTATCGGCTTTCTATGTGTAGGCGTGGACAAATAGTGCAAAAACTCTACCATACAGATGTAATAAATGGACTGAAGAGACTGCATTTGTATCTTACTTTCTTATTTATATTATAAATGTGAGTGTTTGGATGTTTGTTTGAAGGTATCTCCAGAACGGTTGAACTGATCTTGATGAAATTTATATCTGCATAGAATTATTGCGTGCGTTTCAAGCTAAAGGTCATCAGACAGCTTGGGGTTTGTTGATTTACGTAGTTATTATCCGTAGCCTATATGTTCTTTTAGACTATGTTCTATATGTATGTCAAATTTCATCGAGATCCATTCAGCTGTTTTGGAGATACTATCATACAAACAATCTGAACATTCGCATTTATAATATTAGTAAAATTTCTGAGTTTGGTAGTCAATGTAATCATTATACTGCAAAGAAACTTTACCATAAAGCGCACGATTGTATGTTCTCATTCAATTATCTCGACGCGTAGTGTTCGTTGGCCCTGTTCTTATACGATAAGAATTTCCATACAATTGTTAACGTATTTTCATCAGTACTACTATGAAGAAAATCGACACTGTGTCGGTGTATCGACGCAACACTAGCCTTACTAAAATGTCGACGTTTATGTCCCCTCACTAATCATTCTGACACAAGACTTTGTAATGAAAGCGCGACATTTGCACCAAAGGATTCTAACTAATAATGTCTAAAACTACTAACTAGAGTAATAGTTAGGAGTAAATGAAATACGGCTTGAAAAAAAATCTTACATAAATTATAAATGCAATAGTTTGGATGAATAGATAAACGGATTAGAGATACAGTCTGTAATAGCGCAATAGATAGCTTGTTTTTCCACGCAGACGAAGCCGCGGACAAATGCTAGCAATTATATAACTTTTTTGCAAAAGATAGAATTAATGTAAATATCCTTGACTTAAAAATAATATTTAAATTCATCTTTCGCCTTGCTTTTGTAATACCAGTTGTATAGACATTTTTATACGCGAAATTTCTAACCAAATTGTTTACATCTAGATCAAGATTGATTTAATTAACTTCGGTAATGCGGAATATTTTATCTGGTATTTTAAATATGAAGCAAAGATAAATATGTTTACGATAAAAAAATAAAGCAAATTAAACATCAGTTCTAAAGTATTTTCGTCTTATGTACAAAGAATATAAGGATTATGAAAGTTTACATAAACAGTTATTTCAATAAAAACATGCTTTAATGGTAGAGAGGCATCTGCAGTAATGGTTGAATGAAATAAGGCTTTTGCAAGAATATACAGCAACGACAGACGACCTTAATTACTAATTGATTACTATATTATATAACTTTTAGTATGTTTATGATTTACTATAACAGAATATTCCTCAGTTTAAACATTAAATTTTTCAATTTAAAAATATTTTTATTTGTAAATCTGTTTAGTGAAAACTATGCTTAGAGCAGTCCGCGGACAGCTCGACCAGTGTAACCACGACCACACAGAAGACAGACGTGAAGTTATTCCGCGTGGCGTCCGATGTCTGTATTTCGAATGCGAGGAGGTGAAAATATGTGAATTCTTTTACCTTTTTAATATCTCGTCACCTTTTGTTTTATGCGCGTAAGTGTTTTGATCATATGTTCGTTATTATTAGTGCTATCATGGCAAGATAACTTATATGTTCAGGTCAAATGTTATGTTTCGATCTCAATCCACAATCAACTGCGTGATATACATTTATTATCTTAATACAGTGACACATTGACTTGAATTAAACAGGCGATGTTACAGTAGTACTCCACTGCCTTGACACTTGTGTTACACGACTTCAACAGCGCAGAAAAACAAGTAGTCTTTAACATGACCGTGTAAATCCCCTTTCAGTCAAAGTCACGTCAAAATCGGTCAAGTCGTTTCGGAAATTACCCGGAACAAACGCGGACTTGCATATAGACTTATGATTTTTTTTTCTAACATAGACACTGGCAAAATGTGCATATTAGAGGAAGTTTGAAAGTAGCGCCAGTTTTGGAGAAATTGAAGAGTAAAAGATTAGCGTGGTTTGGACATGTTATGCGGAGGGATGATGATGATGTAAGCGAAAAAGTAATGAGATTGAATGTGGATGGCTACAAGGGTAGAGGAAGACCAAATAAAATTTGGAATAACTGTGTGAAAGAGGATATGCGTAGGAAGACTCGGATATGACGGCTGATAGAGATGTATGGAGGAGTTGTACACACTGTGCCGACCCTCGATAGGGATAAGGGCAGGTTGATGATGATGATAGTCACTGGAAGCGGACGGCACAGGACCGGGCATTGTGGCAATCGATGAGGGAGGTCTACGTTCAGCAGCGGACGAATTACGGCTAAATTTTATGATGATGATAGACACTTAAATTTTATTAATTGTAACGATCCTTCACTACAATGGAGTTCAACGGTTAGGAAGTTACTAGTCACCCATGGCCCCACTGACACCGATCTATTATTGTTCACTCGACCCGATCTGTCCATTGTTCGTTTGTGGCGCATTAGCTTTTATCAATTCCCTACAAGTTGCTCTATCAATTTCCTTATACCTATTTACCAATAGCAACTGTTGCCCAATAATTCAGATTCGATGTTTTAAATATCTTACTTAAATTATTTAAGCTTTCGTAAGATGTTATTATAAATTAAATATAAACTAATATCCATGATTTATCTGGTGTCAGTATCCTTTTCGGGACTTTTCTTCAGGGTTAGTGGGACTGGTCTTTGCCCGTCTCTCAGTAGTTTAGCCTTTAGCTCATATTCGTAAGGGTGGTTTTTCAACGCCGCATTAAATCTCGGTGTTGGCGGCTCTGTTACTCTTGTCTCGTTGACCCACAACGTTCGAAATGCAACACTTCGCGATAAAAAAGCATCGCGTTTTAAAAGTGTTATGAACAGTGGTAGAGCCCGCTTTAACATCTTCGCACGAATTGGCCCGGCTCCTCCGGTGAAAGACCACGACCACACAGAAGACAAGCGTGAAGTGGAAGCAATTTCGCGTTTCGTCTGATGAATGTGCGTCCCGGAGGCCTAATTTAATCCTCTTTTCCTTCCCACCCTTTTTCTTATAAGGAAAGAATGGGAAGTGGAAGTGGACTTTCCGGATGAGAGGATGCATGGAAAGGGAAGATATTTTCTTTCTGTGCATCCTCTCCTCTGTCGATTAAGGTAGGCAACGCACATGCAATTGCGTATGTCTATGGGCAACGGTCACTTCGCTATTTCAGGGATTTCAGGTAACCGCTTGCTCGTTTGCCACCTTATAATATAAAAAAAACAGATACATGGAAATGCATTTGTTTTATATCAACGGTTTTTTTACGCGCAATAAAAATATCTTTCATAGCTATCTTCTCAAGAATAGCACCTCCATGTAGGGTAGGTTCGATTGTTAATGCGGGCTAGGTATGAGCTCATGACAACAGGTAATTAATAATTAATTAGATTATTGATGTGTGTAGTTTTTATTGCGTTGCTTTTAATAACAGTATTAATCCTTTTATCATGTTCTATGATAAAAGTATATGTATTTTACTATTCGATTCAAAGATAAAAAATAGTTAACGCAGCTTACATATTAGATATGATGGATTTTAATTATCTTTGTATTATTACTTAATTAGTAGCCAATGTATTCTCCTAGACTATGTTCTACATCTGTGCCAAATTTCAGCGTATTCCATGCAGCCGTTCTAGAGATACCTTCCAACAAACATCCATGTAAACATTCCAATTTATAATATTAGTAAGATTTCATTGAATTTATTATTTAATATATTTAAAACTTACATTAACAACAAAGGTGTATTTATTATGCTGGGAAATAACTTTTTGTTCGCCCATGTTGTAGATTTTTGGATTACATACTTACATAATTGTTTTTGTACTCAAGTATTTCGTTTACAGACAAAAAGTAAACAAATCGCTTTAACAATGGTAGTTTTTGTGAATGAAAATTATATTCTCAAGCATTGAATATTAAGCAATGTTATATAAGATCCGAAAAACTTTGTAACAATTTATTCTCGGTACAGGATATTGGCCTTTTCTATTGCATCTTACTTCTTACTAATATTATAAATGCGAATGTTTAGATGGATGGATGTTTGTTAGAAGGTATCTTCAGAACATCGCAACGGATATTTGGCACTTATGTAGAACATAGTGGGGAAGATTAGGTAGGCTACTCGTTAAGTTTTTTTCTTCTGTGAGGACGGAGTCGCGGGCTAAAGCTAGTATATAAAGATATTTACATATCCGAGAAACGCAATTAACCTGCATAATCCATATCACTAATCGTTAATAAGGTTCAAATTATAGCAGGGGGTTAAAGACATTGTTCACTGCGTTGCCTTGCTCAGATTTCGTTATTTACTGTAGGTCAGATTAGCTATTGTATAATTCCACGATAGTTATAACTACATATGTTATCGGCCAGCAATGGGGTCATGTTAATTATTGTTTTCACTATGATATTGATGATTTAACGACCAAAGTTATCTGTCACGCGTGTGTTCTACTCTTAGCATGTGCTGACACTTCGATTATTAAGCGGCAGGATCTGTCAAGCGCGTTCCCCTCTGTTATTGTGTGCACGTTTGTTTATGTGAATTTTTGAGTCTATATGGATACATAACATTCAAATATATAGACAGTATTAGTATAATATACAAATAAGTGATTGTTATCATTACTCGACCCCCGTGATAAGTGTTTGTTTAACGGCGGTTTATTGCCTAGTCCGTTTTTCTATATTCAAAGTGCTGTCATGTGCCACTGTCCCGTCCTCTGTGTGCTAACTTAACGCCTTTGTTAGAATGATACCCGGTATCGGACAATTGAATCACACTCGGCTCGACTGCGGCCGTGTCGAGTCGTCTTCGAGAAATCGACATAATAAAAATCGATTTTATTTTTTAGGATTGCTAAGTGATTAATCGATAATAGTGTTGTTGATCAAAATTGATCGTTTAAGTTTAATACGTAATTGGACGGTTGGTGATGTAGTGACTGTTGGTAACTGGTCAGATATGGATACGATGATCAGTGTTTGGACTGTGGTGGAACATGTGAGGGTGGCCAGCGGTGCTGCGGAGCTGGCCATCTTCACAGCTATCCTGTACTGGTTCTTCACATCGAGGTTTGTTAATTTTTTTATTTAAAGGATTATCGTACTGTTTTAATTGTATAGTTTTTTTTTGTTATATGGCGTAGTAAAGTAAAAAGTTTTTGAGACTATATTTTTAGTTCTTACAAAAATATTACTGTTTCAACAACACTAAATATTTATTCCTTTCTTTCATATTCGTATATTTAGAATACTAATGACAGTAGTCTAGTGTTTTGTAAAAATGTATAAAATATTGGGTTTTACAGTAAAAGAAATATGAATTTTTTGTTTATTCCTTTCGTGGTGTAATAAATCGTTGAATTTAAATTTATTTGTATTATAATACTTTTTGTTTCCTCATCTCTTGACATTTCCGCGTTATTTAAATAATTGATCATGAAATTCGGATACGCTTCCGTTGTTGTTTTCGTATGCAATTTGAATGTTTCTTGTAAATATGTAATGATGTTCATTTGAATTTTTATATTCTTAAATGTTTGAAGGCCAAAGTGGAATATATTGATTGTTTCTTTATCACTCATCTTTTTTAAGGTTCCGTAACTCATAGAAATAAAACGGTACCCTTATAGGATCACTTTGTTGTTCGTCCGTCTGTCAAGACACTTTTTTTTTAATAAACTACAATATTAATGATTTCTAACCAGTAAACTTTGATAATTGAACCGATAATATTTCTTTCACGTAACACTTCTAAATTACACTAGTGTACGTTATACAGAGCAGGGGTGACAAATTGGCATACGATACAATATTTTCGGAATGTCATAACAAAATTAATTATGTTCTACATAAAGTTTGAAATAGGTTTTATATGAAGAGCGAACACAAAGTCAAAATTATTTGATGGCATGTTGAGATATAAAGGTTCGCCATCCCCTGACTTAGCCCGTACTATTTTATTCTGCACTAGCGGAAGCCCGCGAATCCGTCCGCGCGGAATTAAAAAACACAAGTAGTAGTATGCGTTCTTCCAGATTATGTTCTATACGTATGCCAAATTTCATCGAGATCCGTACAGTCGTCCTGGAGATATCTTCAAACAAACTTCCACCCATCCATACATGCATCTAAACATTCGCATTTATAATATTAGTAAGATTTTTCACTGATCCTACTCTACCACGAAGTTACTAATACGTACTAGATGTATTATGAGAAGCGCCTATAGTCTAATAGTTAAGAAGGTTTACCGATGCAGCGGACGTGGGTTCGAATCCCGTCATTGTCGTGAATCATATAGCACAAGCTTCGAACTTACCTAAAATGGTAACAAGAAATATTAGTAAATCACCAGAAATCTACTAATGTTTAATTATACAATAAGTTATCCATTTGAATACCGCAACGCGTATACAAATAAAACTTATTTCGACGAAAAGAGTTACTTCCCCTAGGATCTTAACAGATATAACTTTTTTGCGTAGCATCTTTTTCTTTATTTTATATCATAAGGTGGCAAACGAGCGAGCGGATCGCTGCCCATAGACATACGCAATTGCAAATGCGTTGCCTAAGTTTAATCGCCGGAGGAGAGGATGCACAGAAAGAAAATATTTTCCCTTCCTATGCATCCTCTCATCCGGAAAGTGCACTTCCACTTTCCATCCTTTTCTTATAAGAAAAAGGGTGGGAAGGGAAAGAGGACTAAATGAGGCCTCCGGGACGCACACTAATCAGACGAAACGCGGAATTGCTTCCACTTCACGCCTGTCTTCTTCACGCTCGTCTACTTGAACAAAATATGTCTTACACAAGGCAAGGCAAGGCAATTGAATATTATTTGTGTGATTCATTCTTAATGTAACATGTTTTGTTTTTGGTTAAACCTTCCCCACCCCCTTCTCCCCATTTCCCCTCAACGCGTAAACTGAAACAATGACTGTAGTTTGCTTTGATAATTTGATTGATTATCAGATATTCTTGGAAAGTTTTGTAAGAAATTTAGTTGTGATGAATATATTCTTTTCTAGTATTTGCTTTAATATGCCTGTTAAAGTTATGGTAATAAACTTTGACCTTGAATAAAATAATGGTTTGAATAAAGACGTACTCTCAAAAAATTTATATTACGAAAATGTGTCTAGAAATTTCGATAGCATTGCGTTACCTACAAGATTATAGTTAATTAATGTACATAAATTAGTAGAATTAAACATTATTATATTTATGTTAATAACTTTGTGTTGTGACTTGAAATAAAAAAAAAACTATCGTGTACATCATTTTTATTTAGCCAGCATTTTATTAATCTACAAAATAATATATGATTTTACATACTATAATGAACTAACCGTGGGATTCTTAGACCAAAACCTCCTTTAAAACTTATTGTTATCACTGTTATGTCAAAGATGAGAGATAGGGATTACGATATATTATTATGTTATATGATGTCAGAAATCCACGGTAAAAGAAGTTAACTTTATGTCAATTTAAAGTAAAGCAATAATTGGTAGATTTTCTGTAGTACATATTAAATTTTTTTTAGTTATAACCTCGTCTTCAAAGTGTTACAATGTCTAGCATGCTGATGCATTAGTACACGTGATTCATCCGAAGGTCATGTGACCCCCTTAAAACATTGACAATACAATGCCACGTGACATACTCTAGAACAGAGATTCCCAAACTTTTTTTCTAGTTGATCATTAAAAATATCACTGGTAAAATTTAGTAGCACATTTCTTCAATTTCTGAACTTAGTCATGGACGCTGGGGTTCAACTTGGGCTACTTTGAGAATCATTGCTATAGAACAGTGATTCCCAAACTTATTTTGTCTGCTGCCCAGTTTGAGAATAAATATTGTGGGAGTCACAGCCGGAGAATACTTTTTCAAATAAATCATAGTCTTCTTTAACTCATTTATTCCTTTTAGAATTGTAAACAACAACTTTTTCAAAAACACCGCTGTTACATTGTCTTTTCCATTACCCGAATGCCAGAAAAACATGGCCGAAATACCGTCAGATAATTAACATGATAAGTTGAATACTTCTATTTTATATTTGAGAATCAAATATTTAAATAATCTTTTGGATCGTAATACAAATGATTAATGTTGTTATATTAAATAAACAAAAGTGTTATTGACTTATAGCATAGACTAAATAACGTTTTAGGTTAAGGAATTACAGAATATGTGAAATGGCTTACAATATTTTTTTAGCGCCCCAATATTTTCACATATTTAAAAACCACTATAACTTCAAATTAACTTAATTAATTATTGTGACCTATACATGTATATAAACGGAGAATTCTAAACCCCAGGCCTCTACACAACGCCCTGGGTCTCGTACCGCCCCCCTTGAGAACTGCAGCGCCCACCAGGGGGCGTTATCGCCTACTTTGGGAAAGACTGCTCTAGAATATAAAAGACTGGCCGGTGATTTATTTCGCGGGGAATAAAAAAAATAGTTATAAATATATCTCCTGTCATCCGGGGACAGTGTAGCTTTCCAACAGTGAAATAATTTTTTTCCTCTTTATAATATCAGTATGGACAAATGTACAATCTTGCAGCTTAGTTTTAGCGAAGTAAAAACTATTTTACGGGGTATCTGTAGAAAAAAAATGTTTGTTTTCTTAGATAATCAAGTTTAAATACGTCTACAATATTTTAAAATACATTTATCTTGGAAACATATAACTTCCAGTTAACGTCGTTAGGCAAATAAATTGTGTGTTAACATAGTGTACGGATATTGGCACGTGATAAATATTGTTTAAGTGCTATTTAGTATAGTTGTTTTTATTTTTTGGCTTGATTTGACGTCGATGGCATAATACAAGGGCACGTTCAAATCTCATTGACGAATTTTCTAAAGTTGATACATAATTTAAGACGTCTCCGTAATTTATTAGGATTCGTGTGCCGTTTGGATATGTGTATTTAAAAAGCGTACGCAAAAAACGAACATCAAAAAACACGAATCATCCTCGTGCACTTCGACACGAATGAATTATTTTTAATTGCTTAATGATTATAATATTGTTTCTTATCATTATTGCGCTATTGTGTTATGACCCCAAATCTTAATTATACAGAGTAATATCAATTAGTTGAAGAAACTGGAATTAACTAGTAATAGTTTAACAGTGGTAGAGCCCGCTTTAACATCTTCGCACGAATTGGCCCGGCTCGCCCGGTGAAATACCACGACCACATAGAAGACAGGCGTCAAGTGGAAGCAATTCCACGTTTAGTCTGATGAGTGTGCGTCCCGGAGGCCTCATTTAGTCCTCTTTCCCTTCCCATCCTTTTTCTTATAAGGAAAGGATGGGAAGTGGAAGTGGACTTTCCGGATGAGGGGATGCATAGGAAGGGAAAATATTTTCTTTCTGTGCATCCTCTCCTCCGTCGATTAAAGGTAGGCAACGTATATGCAATTGCGTATGTCTATGGGCAGCGGTCGCATCGCTATTTCAGCGATTTCAGGTGGCCGCTCGCTCGTTTGCCACCTTATGATATAAAAAAAAAACTTTGAATAATATGAGTTATATATTTTTTTCTAACTGATAGAAAGGTTTTTAACATTTAGGTGGTCTTTTGTAATCTAATTAACGAATTCTAAAGAGTAAGGTGTCTTCTATTTTTTAGAGTTAAGGGTACAGTCAGTGTGTTTGTCGGTCCTTTAAAATGATCGTTGTTTGTTTTTAGCCGCGTCGCGGATATGCTAGAGGTGGTGGGCGAGCGGGTCGGCGGCTGGTGCGGCCGCGACTCGTCCACGTCTCTGCGACAGGCTGTCAGAGCTCGACGAAGACAACACAATGATGTTTACTCCAAGCTGGATGCAGAGATTGCAGTGAGTTGAAATTAATTGAAAAATCTTACCGTAAAAGCACTTGAAGCGAAGTGGCTAGTTATATTCTACATAGCATATCTTAGTTGTAAAGTATGTTTATACTGAGAGGTTTTTTCTGTCTAAAGAATAAATGTTCATAGTGTTTAATTATGCATTTGCTTGCAGTCACGCACATCGGCTCTCTATCGAGCTAAGGAGGGTCCGGTGGTGCCTCCGCCGCTGCCGCCCGCTCGTCCTCCCGCCGGCCTCGCCTGTGCCCGCTGCGCACCATTGTCTAGAGTGAGTTTTAAAATTGTTATTGTTATTCACGTATGTATATATTATAAGTTTAAACACAATTCAATATTGTATAATTGCCTACTAAATAAAATGGAAAAAGCGCGCAATTCCGCATCTCGCATTGTTCCACGTTGACCTTCGAAACTTATCAACCGCAATGCCAGAAGTCGTCGAACCCATTGTATTCTTCAAGAATCGTCCTTCAATCGATCATTACATACATGTGCTGTTGTCTGCGGTTTTACTCTTTACATTTTGTAATTTGACTTTGTAAATGACTGCGCCGTGTAATGAAGCAACCGTGCGAAGGTTCGTTCTTCATTCTGCCACTTCAAACACTAATGTTATCTGTGGTTTTTTTTTAAAGAATAATGACACTAGCATGTATTTCGCCAGTGGCAACCGTCAGTAACCACTACACAAGACTTATGTTGCCATTTAGTTTTTTTTATGTTTAAAAATAACTGTTTATAAAAAAAAATAATATAATATGTTTGAATACAGTGTTAATAAAAACGAGTATTCGTAACTATTTTTATAAATGCAATAATAAATCAAAAATTGCAGACATTAAAAGATAATAGATAAGAAGAATTAAGCGTATGTTTATGACGCGCTTGAATTTGAAATTAATTTTTGTATGTATGTAAAAAATCAAACATTATATATTTCTGTACATTTAACATAGTAATGAAGTAGTCACTTCGCGGATGACCGGGACGACCTTCGCAAATTAGATATAGCAAAAAATCACTTAATAAATCCAATGAGATCCAACCCAACCGAGTAAAAAATTAGTTAATACAAGCTGACGCCCGCAACTCAGTCCGCGCAAAATTAAATAAAACAAAATTAGTAAGCCTGTGTGTTCTTCCAGACTACGTTTTACATCTATGCCAAATTTCATTGAGATCCGTTCAGCCATTCTGAAGATACCTTCAAACAAATATCCATCCATCCAACAATCTTTGGATGAAAGGATGCATGGGAAGGGAAAATGTTTTCTTTCTGTGCATCCTCTCCTCCGTCGATTAAAGGTAGGCAACGCATATGCAATGGTGCATGTCTATGGGCAACGGTCGCTTCGCTATTTCAGCGATTTCAGGTGGCCGCTCGCTCATTTGCTACCTTATGATATAAATAAAAAAAAACTGAACATTCGCATTTATAATATTAGTAAGATTAAATTAGTGGAATCTCGATATTTCGAATGAGTCTGCGACTTAAGTAGACTTAATAAGTGGTTCAAGTTATTACTTATTTGATGACAAATTCCATGTAAAACGTCGCTTTGAACTTGGTGTACCGCTAGATAACGCCATTGTACTTGTAATTAAGGTCGACTTTAAATAGTCTTACTTTTTACTATCTTAATCTATCTTTATATATAAAAGAAAGTGGTGTTAGTAACACTATTTATAACTCAAGAACGGCTTTACCGCTGAAAATTGGTGAGGAGGTATGTAGCTTAGAGCCTGGAGACGGACATAGGATACTATTTATTAATTTTTTTTTCGAATTTATGCCTCGAAGAGCTGCTTTTTATTTAACTTACTACATAATATTTTAAATGCGAATGTTTAGATGGATGTGATGTGGATGGATGGATGGATGGATGGGTGTTTGAAGATATCTCTAGAACGGCTGAACGGATTTAATTTGGCATACGTTTAGAACATAGTCTGAAAGAACACATAGGCTACACTTATTAAGTTTTTTTTTATATCCACGCAGATAGAGTCGCGGGCGACAGCTAGTAATATTATAAACGCGAATGTTTACATTGGTGGATGTTTGTACGGACGGCTGAACGAATCTCGATTAAATTTGACATACATACAGAACATAGTCTGGAAGATCACATAGGCTACTAAATATTTTTTTTTTAATTCCGCGCCGACGAAGTCGCTGGTGACAGCTAATTGAAACTAAACTGGTGAAAGAACATACCTATCTGTTTTCGTGACTTAACTTTGTTTGGATGGTTAATATTTTTATTTGCTTTTGTTTTAATAGCATCATAAAAACATCGTTATTTCATTGGTCGTCTTTGTCATTCGATATCGGCTCACGCACCATTGTTCGCTCGTGTCCGTACTTTGAACTGTCAATCAATGTTTACATTCCTATCTGTGTGGAGACAATGCTACCGATTTGTTTTATTTATGTGGTATATGTTTATAATTGTGACAGTTGCATGTCCGATGACACCTTAGATTCCTAACATAAAGCAGTGTGAGTTTTGATTGCCGAAACACGAGCGGAAACATACGATCCGACTCATTCTCTTTAAGAAAACGAAGTAGAAATGTTTTTTATTCACTAGTCGACGTCCGACTGGTTGCGCGGAATTTAAAAAAAAATTGTAGCCTATGTATTCTTCCAAAATATGTTCTACATTTATGCCGAATTTCAGCGAGATCCATGCAGCGGTTCTGGAGACACCTTCTAACAAACATCCATCCATCTAAACGTTCGCATTTATAATATTATTAAGACTAGCTTGTCGCCTACGACTCTGTTCGCGTGTGTGTTGGTCCAGAATATGTTCTACATCTATGCCAAATTTCAGCGAGATTTATGCAGCCGTTCTGTAGATACGTTCTAACAAATATCCATCCATCCATCTAAACATTCGCATTTATAATATTAGTTAGAGATCTATTTGAGAAAACAATGTAGTAATATTTTATTACCTATAAGAAATCTTATAGTTATTAAGTTGTGTATATTCTTTGAGATAATCGTCAAAGATCAATTGTCGGTCAAATGTCAATATAAATATATAGCTGAATAATATTTTGTAAGGAAACATTTTATTACGCAATAACATCGATATGCGGCGTGTTGACTATGTGATCGGTGAACCTTGTTATCTCTGTATAATTATATTATTTTAATTATCGATATCCATGAAATAATATGTAATTTAATGTCTCGTGTAATTATTATGAGAATTTAATTTATTTATTGTTTAATCTTACGTTTGAAGTTACCTGCGAACTGCACGATGGATTTAGATGGAATTTGGCACACATCTAGAAGAACACATTCGATACTCATCATCATCATCAGCTCACTATACGTGCCCACCGAAGGGCTCGGGGCCTACCCTAAGTTAGGGATGACTAGGCCATAGTCAACCACGCAGGCCCACTGCGGGTTGGTTGACTTCACACATATCTTTGAATTACTTCTCAGATATGTGCAGGTTGCATCACGATGTTTTCCTTCACCGTAAGAACGTCGGATAAATGTACGTATGTAAATCGGAAATCGATAAACACATTGGTACATGGCGGGATTCGAACCCAGGACCTGCAGATTACAAGTCAAGCGTTAGACCACTGAGCCACCGACGCTCCATTCGATACTAATTAAGTTTTTTAATACTGCGCGGACGGAGTCGAACAGCTGTTAATCATATGAGCCATTTATTTTTAAGAATACGCGGCCCATAAGATTTTATATTATATTTGATTCTTGATTCATATGTTTTAATAATTTCTCGATATTCATTTTAAAATACGTCAAGCAAAAACTTTGTATTGCTTTTTAACGTTTGTGCGAACAAATGAATGTACAATTTGATAATAAAAAATAATAAAATACTTCGAATATAATTTGTAGTCGAATTTCGACCGTAAATTGCGATAACTAGGGGTAATGATTCAATGGCAACAGATATACGATTCGGTTTATAACTGGTTACTATTTGTACGTAATATTGTCTCAGTAAATCTTACTAATATTATAAATGCGAATGTTTGAATGGATGGATGTTTGTTTGAAGGTATCTCCGCAACATATGCATGGATCTCGCTGAAATTTGGCATAAATGTAGAACATAATCTAGAAGAACACATCTACTACTAATTAAGTTTTTTTTAATTCCGGGAGCACGGAGTCGCAGGCGACAGCTAGTATCTCTATAAATTCGTCTATTCTACAAATTATACCTAATGTTTATCAATTGCGTATTCAAAATAGATACAATTATGCGATGATGACGCAACAGCAATTTAATACCGTTATATCGCGTCAGGTCTCACTCTAAGCGAATTCATTCACGTCCTTGTTGAAGCCTTCGTTGTCTTAATAAATTATACTACAAGAAAATGTCATGGACATGTTGCATGCATGTTAAAAGATATGTTTTTCGACAAAAAACAGTTGTTAGAGCATGGCGTTTGTGATGTAAATGTGTTTATCGTTAAAAAATATTGCCGAAAAGTCCAGTCTCAACTTGGTTGTTATTGTTATTCAACGGCATACTTAAAGGTATTCTAAACGTTCTATTTATATGTAACTAGCTGTCGCCCGCAGCCCCGTCCGCGCGGAATGAAAAAGAGACTTAATCAGTAGCCTATGTGGTCTCTATGCCAAATTTCAGCGAGATCCATGCACCTGTTCTGGAGATAACTTCAAACAAATATCCATCCATACCCAATTCGCATTTATAATATTGGTAAGATAGTAAGATTAACGATATGAATGTGACAGTTATTGGATGCCTCGGACCTCAAGTCGATTTAATAAATTATACGAGAACTTATTCTTACACTTTAGATAGTGTTTCAAAAAAGGCAAAGCCGAGAGATGCTTTTCTTATTTTTTTTAAATAATTTTCACTGCAATCTTGAGATCTTAGAATAGCAAATTCAGATAATATTTGACGTATAAGTCTGTCGAATGTATAAGGAACGAAGTGAATAAAGAAATGTCGATTCCATATCACGTATTGCACTTCCTTAATGACGTCATCACGGGATATCCGAACACTCCCACGCAGTTTTCATATATTAACATAAGTTCTTTGTTCCTTGTTCCTTGACCTTACATATGCGTCGCTCGTGGAATATTTACATTGTCCTCGGAAAATTTTACATCGAGTAAATATTTAACTTCATAGGAAACAATTGTGTTTGTAAGTTTCAGAACAACGAACTCAATCTATACTTGTATTATAAAGCGGAAGATTTTGTTTGTTTAAACACGCTAATTTCAGGAAGTACTGATCCGATTTGAAAAATTATTTTTTTGTTTGATAGTCCCTTTATAGAGGAAGGCTTTAGGCTATATAACATTGCGTTGCGACCGACACAGCTAGTAATGAATATAGGGAAATAATACCAATGATTTATTTTTATTTTACAATATGACGGAAATAGTATTATTATATAAGAATTCATTGTGAATATTCTTCTATTTTAACAATGCAAATTATAATGTAAATAGTACGGAACGAGCGTCCCGTTATTTCTTACGCGTTTACTTGTAAATGAACGGTCTTGAACTGAGAATGAACCTCGGACACTACGTAGTTATAGACACTATTTAACAGTAATTGTCTTAACCGTCCATAGAAATACTTGAATGTAAAATAATCTTTATCTAGTTGGCTTACTATCGGTGTTTATGGACTTCTCATAGCATTTATAAGTTAAAAAGTTTCCTTACGTTAATGAACATGAGTAGGGGTGTTTGGTAAGAAATATCTTACTTCCTAAACCTAGATTACCTCGCCGCATCATCTTCCTGCCATTCTTTTTATATTATAAAAAAAACAGTCGTAAAATGACTAGAATAGTGTCGTAATTAACAGACTAAACGCAAAACCTGTTATTTTTTAATTCGCGAAATGTCAAAAATTAAGAAATAAACATGAGGCAATTCGTATAACTCTGAACTATAACTATTCGTATGTATACAATCTTAAAAGGAACTGATATCCCAATTGTATTGAGCAATAAGCCCCTGTAGATTCAATGCCGCGAAATACCACGTTGAAGGGAAGGCCGTTATATCTTTATTCTAGTCTCGATCGTTGGCGCTGGCGTGGATGCCTTGATTACACTTTGTCCCAACAGTTTTCCTTGTTTAAGTGAGTTATTTACTGGGTTATTATCACTTACATAGGTTAATGAATGATAAAATCTTCAAAATTAATTATAACATATTTAATTTTTGTACCTTCTTCCACTTTTGTTAAACGAAAAATAGTATTTGCGTAACTTTATTTATATGATCGATCTTTCTTAATGGATTTTTGCAAACGACCTTGAAAATTGTATCTCAAATACTTTTACTGAATGAATGTAGATGCATAAATAATTTCTGAACGTTCATTGATGCATCGTTGTCATGTGTTGCAACTGACAGACCGCTTTATATTCCAAATTTAAACACAAAAGCGCGCGCGCCGCGGTGGCGTGACATCGCCGACCAACCGGCTTCCTCGCGCTCGGTGCGTCGACCTCGTATGTATGTAGATTAAAAAAGTAAAATGGCAAATGTGTGGCCAGTGCAAAATAAAGTTTTTTTTTTCTTTTTTTAAATGGCTTTATAAATGAGGTTATGAGTTAAAAATCAGTCATAATCATAAAGAATGTATGACAGTTAAGTTAGTAAAATGACATAAAAAAAAAATTGTCAAAATTCAGCTAAATTTATATGCTTTTATACAGTTTACTTTATCTTGACTTCACCGAAACTATTCAATAACAAATTATGGTCTTATAATTTTAGAAAAAACTTGATATTTTTTACATAAATATATGGCTGTGGAATCCTACGTTAAAACAAAGCACGCAGCCGATTACCGATAAACATTGTCGCATCATATCATACCATAGACTTTGTTTATTGCAAGTTTATATTTATAACATCTAACGTCGCGTGCGGAACACAAATAACTCACCTACGTACATCGCAGCTTATTTACTCGTGCTATTTTAATCGTTGTTTATATTAAATGATAAAGGTGATAATGCTATAGCACCCTACTTCAAATTGAAGCACTGTTAACAAAACAAATAATTATCCTATAATAACATACTGTACAATTTTATATTACATCATTTGAAAGGTCGTCGTTCGAAGTACAAGAAGTTGATATTTTAAATTCTCTTGCACTCTCTCACACACACAAACACAAACACACACAGACACGCGCGCGCGCATACACACATCCTTTGTGTATCTATGTTTTCTTTTAATTTCTAATGATAACGTGCATTTCTGACATCAAAATCTCCGTATAAAACATATCGTTATCCTTGTCTTTCATCTTTGACAAAACAAAGATAACGACATGTTTTAAACGAAGATTTTGATCTCAGAATTCCATCGTAAGTGAGGTTTTTCTCTCTCTCTCTAGTCATATTCTGGTATTTTTATTTTAATTCTCAAATTTTTTGTCAACAGGAATCATGGCATGATCCGAAGGCGAGTGAGTCAGGTTCAGTAATCAATATATTGGACATAGGCCGTCAGAACTTCGCAAATGGAGGCGTAGTCTCCCGCTACTTATGCGACCTAGCGCAGTGCGTCAACCTCGTCAAGTATGATTACAAGGATGTGGTGCCGAGCGTGAGTATTATTTAAGTTAGACCCTATTTTCGCTAGCTCCACTAACCTGGACTGATCGCGAACGACTGCCAGACCTATGTCAGACATACAGAAATAGCATTCGCGTGGTTAGATTCGCCAGTGGAAAAATGTTTTGAACTATAAATACGTAGGATTTTTTTTAATACTAAGCTATTATATAAATAAGACGTAACATTTGAACTTAAACATATGTTTTTTGTTTTAATTAATTTAATGGAATTTGGAACTTTGTAGGTTGTGAAAGACGAACGTTTCCAACGTGCCATAGAAGATACGACCCAAGAAGAAATGAGAAAATCTAATGGTACCAAACCTGATGGTGTCTCTCGGAGTCCCCATCGATATACTGAGACTAGGAGGAAAGTGGAAGCTCGTGCTATGAAGGTGCTTATGGATATCAGCTCGGCAATGTCCAATAATGTTCTCAGGTTAGTGTATGGATAAAAAAATACGTCATCCCTCTCTGTCTCTTTGAATAAACAGAGACAACATGTTTGAACACATCTACACATGTGATAAACGAGCAAAAATAACTTATTAGAATTTTTCTAAGTATTTTGGGCACGTGTTTATTAGAATTCATGACTAAATATTAATTAAAAAACGAAATATTCAGAAGAAGGGCGATTATTAACAATGTCAATGGCGTGTCCTTAATATATTTCCGAATTGTTATTCTATGACGTAAGTAAAGTTTAATTTTAGAGTAGTTTAAGGTTATATTAACTAATTTGGTATATTTTCTACTAATGATAGAAAATACAGGAGCAGGAGATTGTGGCCAATCACTAACTGAGGGTTTCTAAAGCCAAAATATATGTATAAAATATATAATCCATGTCATTATCTTTGACAAAACAGATTTAAGAATTATTTTTAATGATTTCAGTATCAGAAACCCAAGGTTAATGATGTACGCAACCCTGTTTTTGACATTTTTTCCATAACTGAATAAGTAAAGATTCGTTGATGTTTCCTTAATATAATGATATATGAGTTTTAATAATTTGACCTTGAATTAATTGACCTTGATGGTACAGTGTTAACCAGTATTACATAATGTCGATCGTTAAAAGGTGGCATAATGTCGAATTCGACAATAACGAGTTTTATTAAGAAGACGATTTCATAAATATTTTAATATTTTTTTTATTTATTCTACTGCGTTGCAATACCCCACTAATAAAATAAGCAATTTAAAACTTCACAATAATATTATATTCAACATAGTTTATTAATAAAAATACTTAGCTACTTTTTATTAATGTATAATTTTGGTTTTATTTTTTTTATTTTTAAAACACCCTTTGTAACAAAACATTTAATAAATAGTTTTTGTAACGTATTAGAAAATGTAGTCGCATAGATTTTTGTCTCCATACTTGACTTATAAATATTTGACACGTAGTCAATGTTACTAACTCGTCTAGGGAGTTGACTAATACCTAATAGTAGCACTGACAGTGGTAGTGGTAAGTCTAATACTTTAGTTGTAAATATTTCGACAGTGTAAATACATTAGTTATTATCATCAGCTCACTATACGTCCCCACCGAAGGGCTCGGAGCCTACACTAAGTTCAGGGTGATTAGGCCATAGTTAACCACGCTGGCCCGTTGGTTGGTTGACTTCACACATATCTTTGAATTTCTTCTCAGATATGTGCAGCATCACGATGTTTTCCTTCACCGTAAGAACGTCGGATAAATGTACATATGTAAATCGGTAATAAAAAAACACATTGGTACATGGTGGGATTCGTACCTAAGACCTGCAGATTGCAAGTCAAGTTGACCAATGAGCCACCGACGCTCCCAAATACATTAGTACATCGTAACAATTGTAAAATATAAAGTCCTTTCCAGGCTAGTGGCATGGCTATGTCACAAAGCGATACGTCGCATCGCAGGCGGTGGTTGCAGTACTCGTTTCGCGTGTGTGGAGCGGTTACGCCGGGCTAAAGCCGCGGGCCTTCCGCTAGTGTTTGTGCCCCTGCATCGCTCGCATTTTGATTACATTCTAGTCACCTTTACATTGTATCTTACTGGATTAAGACCGCCTTTGGTAGCTGCGGGGGATAATATGAGAATACCTTTCTTTGGGTGAGTTATAAAATAGGATAAGTGGTTTTCAGCTTTATACAAACTTTTGCTCTTGTCTTCGTCCGTGCGGAATTAAAAAAATATTTATATTCTTTGCCTAATTCTAATATTTGTATGTTTCTATATGAGTTACGTTACAATCTTTCTAATATTATAAACGCGAATGTTTAGATGGATGGATGTTTGTTAGAATGTATCTGCAACCGACTGCATGGATCTCGATGAAATTTAGTATAGATGTAGAACATAGTCTGGAGGTACACATAAGCTACCTATGGTCCCGGAAATGTGTACGGTACTCGTGGTATATTTGATTCAAATATTTACTCCATAACTCCGCAACGGTTGAGATGTGTAATAGGAATTAGGCAGATATAGAATGTTGCACGCGATACTTTTCATCCTTTTAGAAATTCAGCGCAGACAAAGTCGCGAGCAAAAACTACGTATTAAGACATCTTGTATAGTTATTTTATTTACAAATGTGATTCTCTATAGAATCTTATCTATATAAGTGTGTTTTTTGCAGTTGGATTTTGCGTGGTTGTGGAGCTTTTTACATAAGACGACGCGTCGACGGTTCTGAATACCACGGCGATCCCATTTACAAGTCGGCTCTCAGGTAAAATACTTATATATACTTTTTTAATTAGAAATTGTATTTATTAATAGTTAAATTAAAAAATAAATGTGGCTATTTTTTCTCAGGGCCTACATTCTTAACAGTTTGGGAGCGAACAACAACTTGGAGTTCTTTATAGAAGGAGGACGGACAAGGACGGGGAAACCGCAGCCGCCAAAAGGTTAACTTTTTTATTATTTCTTTAGTAATCCATATATAAAGAAAAATATTTTAGTATAAATAACAATAAAAATAAGAGCGTCGGTGGCTCAGTGGTCAAGCACTTGACTTGCAATCTGCAGGTGCTGGGTTCGAATCCCGCCATATACCAATGTGTTTTTCGATTTCCGATTTACATATGTACATTTATCCTACGTTCTTACGGTGAAGGAAAACATCGTGATGCTGCACATATCTGAGAAGAAATTCAAAGATATGTGTCAAGTCAACCAACCGGCACTTGGTCAGCGTGGTTGACAATGGCCTAATCACCCTTAACTTAGGGTAGGCTCCGAGCAACTCGGTGGGAACAATAAAAATTTATTTCGAAGAACTGTTAATATAAAATATTAAATTGATTTGTACTTGTGTATAATATTTACTTAATGACATGTACGTAAAGAATTTATTTACGTAAATTATATTTAAAAAGTAAATTTGCAGAAAAGCTATAAAAATGAATTAAAATATAAATAATTCATTGTCTAATTTTAATGGAACTTTTACAAATGTAGAAAAATTGCAAATAATATTAATTTTTTTTTGTCGTATTTTCGAATTTCCTTATTAACCATATCTTGAATAGATTTATTTTGTATTTAAGATTTTTTTTTATTTAGAATTACACAATCTTATTTACAAATGAATATTCGTTTGACCTTTGACATGTGTAAATTTTGTTTTTATTGTTTTCCTGCTTTCTTGGATAAAGGTGAAATCTGTGGTAGGTAAACGACAATTCTTAATTATAATATACAAGACAATAGGTTTTGAATATATATATTATCCATTGTTATAACTCTGTAGAAATTCCTTTAGCAAAACATTAGCTGTCGTCCGCGACTCCGTCTGCGCGGTATTTAAGAATAACTTAATAAGTAGCCTATGTGTCCTTCCAGATTATGTTCTACATCTTTATCAAATTTCAGTTAGATGAATGCAGCCGTTCTAGAGATATGGATATTTGTTAGAAGGTCCATCCATCCATATCCAGAAAGGCCTCATGGATCTCGATGAAATTTGTCATAGATGAAGAATATAGTCTGGAAGAACACATATGCTACTTAATTTGTTAATTGACAACGATTTAGTAAGAATTTTTTGTTTTTTTTTACTCCAGCTGGCATTCTATCTGTGATAATGGACGCGTATTTGGATGGTACGATAGACGATGCCCTTCTAGTACCAGTAACATTGAACTACGAGCGGTTGGTAGACGGCAGTTTTGTGCGCGAGCAACTTGGTATGCCGAAACAAATGGAGACCTTCTGGTCGGCTTTGCGTGGCATCTGGAGGACGTTGAATACCAACCACGGCGGGATAAGGGTTGACTTCAACCAGCCTATATCGCTCAAGGTCAGTTTTGGTACACAATGAAATTAAATAACGGCGGCGTAAGGGTTGACTTTAAATTTCTATAAGCCTTCTCGGAATATGTACATACATTTATTTCCTATTCATTTGAAATATAATTTGAAACTTACAGTTCAATTATGATAAATATTGAAATGCAAATATTCTTTACCTATGCTTCTCCTTCTTCGATCAAGGAAGGGGAAATATTCTCTCTCTGTTGTTATTCCCTCCATTGAATAAAGATAGGCAACACTTCTGCAATTGCAGATTTCTATACCCAGTATCGCAATTTCGGCGAATCCAGGTTGTTCGTTTGCCACCTAGTAATATAAAAAATACAGACGTCTTAAATTACAACTCATTTGTTTTTTTTTTAATAAGAGTAAGAGGTAATCGACGCCCATCTGCAATACTAGAGGAACCGCAGACGCGTTACCGACCTTTTTATTATGACAGTTCTCTTTAAGACATGTTTATCTGTGAACAGGAATTAGTGACATCATTCCAGAAGTACAATTACCTGAAGGCGCCCATCGAGCGCTGTCTCACTCCGCCCAACAACAACTTGGCTGTGAACCTGGACCGTCAGATCCTATACAACCACAGTCACTCCAGTCTGTACGGTGCTGACGTCACAACTGATCATAAGATGATGGTCGAAGCTATCGGCAGACATCTTGTATACGGTTAGTTCATATATGGATGAGTTGTTAATTTTACTGGAGTATTTTGAAACTAGCCGACTAGCGATCGTCCGTGACTTCATCTGTGAAAGAAAGTAGCTTATAGCATGCTCGCGTTCATCAGCTACCTTTCCGTCCAAGTCCCGTTAAAATCGGTCCACCAGTTCCGAAGATGACCTAAAACAAACACGGAGAGATATAATATACAGACTGATAAAAAAAATGGTTTTTAGTTATCAGCTACTCGAATACATAATTTGTACGAAATATGTTTTTTCGATTTTACATACAAACGCATATTGAGACGCGACTTGACCGCGAAGAATCCTTATTTAGGATTCTTCGTCATAAAGATGGACCCCACTCGGGAGTTCAGCCGTTCCTTATAAAGTTACATTATTTTGTCTCACTAAAGTTAAAATAATCAATAAATTTTATCAATATGTATTGTTTGGAAGAAAATCCGACAAGGCTTGTGTTGTGCCGGTGTACTGGCACAACACTAGCCTTATTAAAATATCGACGTTTATGTCCCCTCACTAATCATTCTGACAGTTGACTTTGTAACGAAAGCCATTCGCGCCAAAGGATTGTAACTAATCTTGTATAAAACTAATATATATATAAAATTGTCGTGTCACAATTTTCGTTACCATACTCCTCCGAAACGGCTTGACCGATTCTCATGAAATTTTGTGAGCATATTGAGTAGCTCTGAGAATCGGTCAACATCTATTTTTCATCCCGCGCGGACGGAGTCGCGGTCGACAGCTAGTGATGTCTAAAAGTATAGATGTTGTTGTTTCAGACGCGGCACAATCAACAGCTCTGATGTCAACAAACGTATTATCATACGTACTGCTGAGTGAACAGCGTCGCGGTTGTACTCTGCAGCAGCTGCAGCGCTGTGTGGAGGCGCGAGGTGCAGCGCTGCAAGCCGCTGGCAGGGACCTCGGCTACACAGGAGATACCAGCTCACTTGTCAAACATGCTGTATGTATAACTTAAGACTGCTTATAAATATATTAACTTATATATATACGGCTAAAATATTCATGTATGTTCGTCCGATGTACTCGCTTTTAGTATGGACCCCGACGGGAGTTAAGCTATTCTTAATTTATTATAATGTGTCACGAAACTTAACCCTTATTGTGACAAGATTTCTTTTTTGAAGAAAAGCAAAAAACAAAGTTAAAAAAAAATAACTTTAATTTTTTTATAGTGATCGTATATTTTTATATAGTTGTATGTATGGTATATTATACAAAATAAACATTTTGTCAATATGTATAGACTAGTTGTCGCCCGCGACTCCGTCCGCGCGTATATTAAAAAAAAACATAATTGGTAGCCTATGTGTTCTTCCAGATTATGTTGTTATATGGTTGGCCAAATTTCATCGAAATCCGTTCGGTCATTTTGGTGATATCTTCAATCAAATATGCATCAATTCAAATATTCGCGTTTATAATATTAGTAAGATGTATATATATTGTTCTAGCTGGAGATGCTAGGTCGTGGTCTGGTGCGACGTGACGGACGTCAAGTGCGCGCGCAGCCCACAGTGTCAGCTGCACTTGAACTCTCATACTACGCGAACGCACTCGTCGCGCACTACGCCGCACCAGCTATACTCGGTAAGCATAATAAAGGTTATACCGTATTTGTAAACTCCATCCCACACCGATTATCGCGGTTTGCTAATTTTTATTAACTTCCCTATATTCTATATGTTTGTCTAATTTTAGCGACATTGATGCAGCCGTTCTAGCGATACCTTCCTTTTGACGAACATCCATTCAAACATTCAACATTATAATATTGCTAGCTGTCGCCCGCGACTCCGTCCGCTCGGAATTAAAAAAAAACATACTTAGCCTCTGTGTCTTTCCAAACTATGTTCTATATGTATGCCAGATTTCATAAAGATTCGTTCAGCCGCTCTGACGATACATTCAAACTTACGTCCATTCATCCATCCATCCATCCATCCATGTATTTAAACATTCGCATTTATAATATTAGTAAAATTGAAATGTAAGATTATAAGATTGATAATAAAATATTTATATGAACGTTAACTTCCAGCTACGGCACTAGAGAGCATAGTATGTGAGAGCGATGAGGACACAGTGCGGCACAGCGAGCTGATAGAGTCATCCCTGCAGCTGTGCGAGGTGCTCAGTCAGGAGTTCATCCTGTGCCCGCCCTGTACACGCATCGAGGAGACCATGCTCAGTGCCATAGGTACCCTGGTCTCCTGTGACGTCCTCTCCGAAATACAGGTTAATATCTACCTATGGAATCCTGGTACTCTGTGACATAAAAGCTTTTTTTTAGGTCGAATAAAGCTAAACATTTTTAGGGTTCCGTCCCTCAAAAGTAAGAAACGGAACCCTTATAACCCTTCCGTCTGTCCAATCTGGTAACAATAACGAAGTAACAGCTCGACCCGAGGCTCCTGAGCTCTCGAGTCTTGTTACTCTTAAACGAGGTTTAGGCTAAGCGCCATCTGCGCTCGGCCACCTCAAGCCCGGTGAAGCTGTAAATGCCTCCTCAAGGCAAACGGTGACTACTCAGTCACAAAAAAAAATCCGTCCGTCTATCTATCTGTGAAGACCCTTTTGCTGTACCAAGCTGGAATTTATTTTTTTCTATTAACTGAAATACTACGACTTTAATTTTGCAGGATAACAGTGGATTAGAAGAACAGAGATGGTCGCGTCGCTTTGCGAGGAGTTTTGATGACGACGATGATGAGGTTCGGGATCCAACGAGAAATATAAAATATAGAGTGTCAAAGACATCTGAAGCTATCGCTGAGAGGTGAGTTGTAAAAGAGAATGTAAATAAACATATATTGACTCATATTAATATACATATTTAGATAGCTTCTTACTTAAATGATCGGCAGAATTCTGCCACTTACATAATATTTAATGATCATTGTTAATTCAAAAAGTAAAAAAAAATATATCTCGGTAAGGTCTAAACCCGGTTTTTCATACTTAGTTGCCAGCGATTCCGCGTGGAATAAAAAAACTCTTAATTAGTAGCGTATGTATTCTTATAGACTATGTTCTACATTTATGCCAAATTTCAGCGAAATGCATGGAGACATTCTGGAGATACCTTCTAACAAATATTCATCTATACAAATATTAGTAAGATTACCATGGAAAATGCTGAACACAAGAAGTTGTACCATTTCTGTTGAGTTTTTTAGATCTGTCATAATAAAAACACCATCCATTCAAACACTCATATTTATATGTTTACTATCTAATATTTTACAGACGAAGACTGCTCTTAACAATCCGTCCATTGCTGGAAGCGTACGCGATGACGTGCAAGAATGTCAGCAGTGGCTTACAGAAGACAGTCGTCACCACCGCACTGGACGCATTGACTGAGGAGTTCACACAGAACAGAATGCCATACGGTTAGTGAACACTTTGATCACTAGGTGGCGCTAGAATCGTAAACACATGTGCCAAAAAACTAATAGAACCTTATTTAGTTTAAGTTTAATATTTTTCTTCAATTTGATATTATAATTTTTAAATTCTCAAGGAAATTAGTTGAGTCATGGATACATTTATCAACAATTTCATGAATTAATCATAATTTTCATTTATTTGCAGGAGAAGCAGTATCAACAGATGCGATAAGAAATTGCTTGAAGTTACTCCGACAATGGGGAGTGATAGAGATGTATTCAGAAGGAAAAGATAGAAAGCTACGGATAATCCCTCCATATGACAACAAAACCAACTGGGACCATGTCTGCAATAATGTCTATAAGTTTAACATGGACACCCCTTTATTAAGTGTTACCAAGTGATAATATATCAATTATAGTTGCCAAGTGTAAAAGTGTCAACAAGTGTAGATGCCAAGTGTAAAAGTGTCGACAAGCGTTGACTAGAATAGATGTCAAGTGTAAAAGTTAAAAACTGCCAAAGTGAAAAAGGTCTTTGTCATGTTGTGATAAACAAAGTGTGGATCCAGTGCAACTGTCAAATGTGATTCTAGGTTAAGCCAATCGGTGGAAGTGTCTTCCGGTTAGTACAAGAACTTAGTTACTTTAAGTTATGTAGTTTGAACTATCTCTATAGACTTTGTAGTAAGAACTGTAGAATGAACTGTCATGGCACTTTATTCAATGCATATTGTTATCCTTTTTATTCTCTTTGGCAAAACAGAAATAACAATATGTTTTAATACAAGTATTATAACTACTAAAACTCCAAAACTACCTAGAAATAAATTCCAATATTTTTTTAAACGATGTTGCCAAACCCGGCAACATATGTTTGGTTTGAAAATGTTTGTTGCGGGTTTTGTTACAGATTTTTATATATATTGTATGTCAGCAATATATTAAAAAATTTATGAAAATTGTACTTCTGAAAAATTATACTTCTTTGGTACACTTTTGATCTCGATTTTCATTTAGATCAGATTCTTTGAGAAGCCCTTGCTAGCTTATTAGCTTAATAAATAAAAACTATACCGAAAAGTTAGAATGATGAATAATTATACAGGTAGATAATGTAGAATAAATTTTAATTCAATTTCAAGTACAGTCAGACTTGGGTAACTGAGAATCATCTATAAGCAACAGACTCGGGTTAGAAAGAAACCTCTGTAACCAAGAAAAATATTGCGGTCCCTTCAACTCACACTTATCCAGGTCTGACTGTACTCATTTATAGTTTAATATTATTACTATTTTCTTATCACAGACATATGTCAGTATATTTGACATTTTTTCAATGAGAGTTTCGTCTGCTGCGACACTTGTATTGTCACATATTTTCTCTCTCTTATCAAAGAGAATGAGGGAGATGACACTATGTGTCAATACAGTGTAAACACATAGAGTAAAATAAACATTACTTATTTAAGACTATGCAGTCTATGATTTAGGGTTTTATAGAATTGCATTTACATTTTGCAATTAATAATGATAAAAGCGACAAATTGACAAACAATGGGCTGTAGACCATAGACTATAGGCGTAGATGTAGACCATAAACATTTAAATAATGTAGAGGAAATTGGATGTGTTGAAATATGTTAATTAAAACGTAACATTCGTTTGTAGAAAGATTAAGATAAAAAGTATAAGTATTTATGTAGTGCGGTAGACATGTTTTGTTTTGAAAAAATCATTAAACACATTATATTTGTAATTTATTTATGTTTAAATATAAATTTATGTATTTTTAATTTGATATTGGTATAGTGTTGTTTATTATTTATGCTCTGGTTGACTGTTGCTATGCAGTCGCTACAATTAATGTCACTACATGCAAAACAACATGAGATATGATTCTAATGACGTCATAGCTAAATTCTCTTACAGTACAAATAAACTTGAGTAAAAATCTTGAGTCGTAAAACACGACTTTCGATACACAGATGGTAATGCTGCCTAATTTCTCATTAATCCTATTAAAATTAATGATTGATTTATCATTGTTCTATCTGTGAGTTTCCGCTACCTTTGCACATGTTCAAAGAGATGTTAACTCTATTCTTGTTAAGAGTAAAAGAGATGACTATATTTTTGACTACACAGTTGTTTTAGCATTCAAAATTGACTTTTACCATTCAATTACATAAAATGTGATTGTTATTTTATACTTTAAGATTAAAATCTAAGTTGGAAATTTATATACATATATGACTATCTATTTGTGACTAGTTTTAGATAAGTTTTGTAAACTTAATTAATTCTTTTACAATACTTGTAATACTTTGACTTATTGGTCTTTTAAGAATATTTGTGAGAACATCTTTGAAACATCATCGTAAAAAATTGTATTAAAATTTCTGTAGCGTGTACCAAGGTCACCAAAAATCTCATATAAATGACGTATTTTATCGATAACGTTACGAAGGTCCATGTCGCAAATATTCGTATTAGACTCTCTAGTATGACTGTAATAGAATTAATTTAGTTAACAAAAAAGGTAATGTAATTCAGAAAGTTACGATTTTTTATTTGAAAGGTACAGTCAATTGCAGAATTAATCTGGTGATTAATGGCCGAACACTTAACCCATTTTGTCTTACTGAAAGGTTTATAGTTATTGATATTACATAACATCAAGTCAACTTGTGATTGAAGAAAATTCAATAAAAAAAAGGTTTGTTTTCATTAGAACCAACTCGCCCTATCAAACTTTAATATGTGAAAATTGTAGTGGCATTGAATGTGTTAACTTTACAAAAACAGTGCGCTGACTGTACTTTTATAGACTTCATTAAATGCATGTTATTTTAAGAAGGAACATGGTATTTAGTTCAACAAAGTTTGATATTGAGTCTAGTTAAGTTTTAATGCTCAAAGATTGGAGCCAAATAACGCGTTTATTATTTATGTTCCCATTGATCTGTGATTGTTTTGCTAAGTGTGCACAATAATATAATGATTGTAGAATCAAGCTGAGATGTCGCATTCAACGAGAGTCACATGTTATTGTGCACATATAGTAATGTCGAAAACTTGGTCGCTCACATTGTACTATTAAATAAATAACTCAACATCTATAAATAAATAAAGAAGTTGCTTGTTTTTATTTTTCATGACCTAATTCCAGGGAACAGCCGTGCACGCATTTTCCCCCACCCACAGTGTGGTGGTAACTACAAGCAGCCATTACGTTTGAATCCTATAATCATAGAGTTATACCTCTAGGCTCTGCCTAAAGGCCCTGTTCCTGTAGGTTTGTTTCCCCAATTTCCCCAATGATGTCTTTAAAATACAGTCTCACTAATATTATAAAAAAGTTGATGAATGGAAGAATACATTTGATAGAAGGTATCTCCGTAAGGACTCAACAAATGTTGATGAAATGTGGCACAGATGTTATCGTAATAGACAGTTATCGAAATACAGCCAAATTAGTGCCTTTATAAGGTTATACTATAGCCGCAATACACAATATACCCTGCAGATTGGCTATGCTTGGGTGTGCTTTTTAAAAATACTAATAAATTGCATTACTAGACACATTTTTTATTATAGTAAATGAATACACGGGCTTCACCACTATTTTATAATCTGTAGAACATAGACTTATGAATGAGACAGATTAAATATAAACACGACAGAAAGGAAATTTTCCCTAAAAGTATGGTGGTTTATGACAAAACATTTTCTGTAAAAATTAAGATTTAATCTTAGCAAACGTAACAACATAATTTAAAAAAGTATAACCTTTAAGTTGCTAAGCAAGTAAATTAATTATAAAAGCTTTTTCTCTGTAACACTTCTACTGCTAACTTTATAAAAATATGGAATTTAAGTGTGTTACTGTGAAAAATTGAAACAAGGTGCATGGCAACATTACCAACTTCGACAGTGTCAGTTTTATATTCTTTTTGCTGTCAGTTGCGGTCGGAGTCAAGAATGTTGTGTTGTGCCTTGTTATAGGAGTTTTATTTCGTATTTTTATTTGAACTAAATATGATCTTTCCATTATTTTTATTCTGAAGTCTAGTATCTAGTGTACGACTTTAACAGCTACGGTCAGTGTAAAATGTTTAAATGTGATATTTTGAGTGTTTGGTGCCTGTTTCTTGTGAATTTCTTATTACTAATAGCCCTGACAAAGGACACCGTTATTGCTCAGGAATTAAGTAAGTTTTATCTTTGTTTTCATTAATTTGACACTGCCTTGTTTGCTATTCAAATTAATTTGTATTTAAAACAAATGAGAATATTATAGTTTATAAAAAATAAATCTCAAAATTTTATTTTGTATACCCGTCTATTTATATACAACTCATAATAAATCACATACAATGTTATGATAATCAAATTAATTTAGTACGAAAGAAACTTTATGAACTTTAGTATTTAATTTATTTCAATTATTTAATATTGATGTGTGAATCAAAAACACTAAATATCTACTTATAAATCATATTAACTTTTTATATTAAGTTTGAAAGGTAATGTTAAAACAATTATTCACATATTTGTGTGATTTTTAAAGTCCAATAATCTAACAAAAATAACATTACAGTATTAAGTCAAACTAGAAAATTAATTATATTTATTATATAGTATGGAATAAACACATCAATGTATTTTTTTTTATAAAAATTTCTCATATGATTCTTTGACATTTTTGAATCAGTTCCATTTTGTTTTACAGAGCTTTGTCGGTTTGAAATCAGTTTGGTTTCAGAAATTAGCAATATAGTTAACACTGTATTGTACTTATTTAAACTTATTATCAAATTTCCATAAAAATGAACATCTTCATCACCGTTAAATTGTAGACATACATTTCTAATTTTAGAAACCTTTAACTTATCTTATTGATATTATTAATGCAAATGTTAAGATGGATGGTTTGAAGATATCTCTATAATGGCTTAATGGATCTCAATGAAATTTGGCATACAGGTAGAACATAGTCTTAAATTAAATTATGTTATTATACATGGAAGAGCGGCACTTCCAATCACAAGTTCCCTATGAATGGTTAAATGGAAGTCACAACACTAGTTTAATTTTGTATCGTCTTTTGTTAAAGCAATGAATACCTTTTGATTTTTAATTTTCCTAGTTGGGATGAACACAGGCTGATTAAGTTTTTTTTTCTTAAATATGTGTGGATAGAGTCACGGACAATAGCTAGTGTCATATAAAATAAAGTAATTTATCACATATTTCATACAGTTAAAATAATGTGTGTTTAAAAATAAATTAAAGCATTCAAATTTAACAATAGTTTACTTGAGGGGTGAATGTAGCTTTTGTTACCCCGAGGGTTCGTTTATGACTATGGAGCGGTGAGGGATGCACGTGTTTTTTTGGTAATAAACTTTGTTAATAATAGCTGTAGGGTGAAATGCGCAACGATTGCTTTAAACACGAAAATATTTATTAGAAAATGGCTTATTTTGTTTAGTTGGTAACATCGTAATTTTTTTTTAATCTCTTTGTCATAAAGGTAGACATGTAGTTCGTTTCCACTGCCAAAGCGTAAATACAAAAACATATACCCATTCCTCATATTGTCTTTGAATAAACAGAGATAGCAATATGTTTTTTCATGTTTTTCGGTAGTTTACTCTCAAAACATTGAATACTGGGCGAAAAGTAGACCTTTTCCAATTGTTACAGTGGTACCAACTTATTAAAACTAAAGTAAGCAGTTATAGATGTTATTTGTTGTTAGTTGTACATGGTGTGGAACGATGGCGTCCCATGCAATAAAATAAAATGCACGTCGTTTGGAAGGCAACGCACCCACTTCGTCAACAGCTGTTTATAGATCGACAATTATACGTTGACCCCTCCCAGCTCTCTTCAACTGTGCAGCGTCAGGGCCGGTAAAGATTTGTTACTAGGGTGAACATGTAAATATTTTATTTTATTATTTTTACTTTTATAAGAAAATCTTATCATATCTTCACAGATTTTTCTGTAATATTCTGAAAATTGTGAGAATAAGTCACGTGAAGTTCAAACGGATGGATAAGGGAATCGTCATAATATTTATTGAATTTTTTTTCACCTTGGTTTACAATAATTAGGTGTTATTTTGTATTTTACATATGTTTATGTTTTTGGCAAAAATATTAATCAATTTAATACCATAATTAAATCTAGAATGTCCTGTATTTAGATAATAGTTGTGGTGTACGTATGAAGAAGTTGTCAGTCCATGTTATACTGGTTGGTGGTTATTTCTGGATGCAGCACTATGGGAATGGTGACTTCCACGCGGGGACACGACGCGCTTCCTTCGTGACGTCACGTCCGAATGATTTTTAATTAACTTGTCCCTTCCCTTAAATAGTTTTGAATACACTAACATAGTACACATTATATTAATAAGTTATAAATTATCTTATTAAATCATTTCAGTTGTAATTTTAAATTGGATTTAAACGCAATTACATACACATCACACAGAAGACAGACGTGAAGAGGAAAGGTAATTCCGCGTTTCGTCTGATGATTATCCTTATCACACGCCTAATATCCCCATTCCGATCCCATTTTTGAGGTGAAGATGCATAGAAAGGGGAAATATTTATTTTCTTTTCGTCTTGTCTTGGCTAAAGATAGGCACCACCGCGTCTGCAATTGTAGACGTCTCTGTGCAGCGGTGGTTTTCCTTTCTCCGCAAATTAAGGTGGCCGCTTGCTCATATGTCACTTTATGATATAAAAAACCCTATATGAAGGAAAATTAAACAATATTAGAACATTAAATAGTTTATTAAGATCAGTTACAATCACGTTTGGTCTGGATGAAACGCTTTTTTTTACTACAATACTTCAAAATAACATTCTACAATAACAAGGTGTTCAATGGGACAGTGTAGTAACAATTTTTGCTTCGGTATAAAATGAATGAAGACATTATATAAACAATCGAATTGAATTCAAATGTATAAGTAAAGGCCTTAGCAACTTAAAGCTGTTCCACACAATGCAGTATTAGTTTACATGAGTTCCGTATAAGAGTTCATTCACACGCCCCTAATAATATTTTCTGCGGGGGCACAAAGTATCCACGCTGTCGGCGTCATATCAACAAACTGGGAACAATCATAATAAACGCGGCCGTTCGCATTCGTTACAATCAACTGGAAACTATCCGATATTGATTGATTACTCGTCTTATTACTCACCAACAAACAATAGATGAATCCGCAAGTTAAACAAAGTACAATCGCGTCTGTTCGCGGTATTACGGTTACAGAAATTAGCTTTGCACCAAACAAGGAACGAACTATGATTGAACAGATAAAAAATCTCCTCACCACTATCAGAATTCTCGGCATTAAGTGAATTGCCAAATGAAGAGTTATATTTACGAAGACCATCCTAAAGTCGCTTTACTAAATAAATTATACAGACCATGGCCTCTGTCATGTCTAAATCGATAGATTAACATCTATATGCGGCTTGGTCATGTAAAACATTTAAATTATTGCTCCATATTTGATCATTTAACCTTCCAAAGACTGTATAAGGTTGCTTCGTAGAATAAAATTGACTTAAAAACTTAAGTATCTGTTACATTGCTAATGTCAAGTTAAAAAGGACACGGTTTTTTGGTTGATGTTGGATATTGATATTTTGAAATTAAGTAAAAAACAAAAACCTATCGCTTGTCAACTTTTTCCTTGCATAGAAATAGCTTATGCTTTCTTGCAGGCTACATTTTGTTTCTGTGACAAATTATATCCAAATTAAGCCGTTTAGTAAACATCCATTCAGATTATGGAAAACAAGGTATCTAACAGATAAAAAAATATAGGTTAAAAAACAGAAAAGTATTTTAAGGTTTCTTATTTAATACGGAACAATAAAAATTATTATTGTCGGTAGAATTAACGCAATAGGATGTACGGATGAAATGGTTCAAATAAAATAGTACTTTTTTGACATGTGCAAGTTCCATATGTTTTTAAGCCGTACAAGCTCGCGCAGGAAATCGAATGCTGGACTGCATTAAATATGAGACATGTTTATATATGTTTATGGTTGTACTGGGCCGTGTCATAGACAGGGTGTTACCATGAATCAGAGAA